AATATTTGTATAGTCTTTGACAATGACAAAATCTTTGAATCTGTCAAATTGACCATGCTGACAGCCCATCTCCTTTAGTTAAAGTCGGTCTACTTTGAAGTGCTTGTAACATCCGATAAATATACTAAGCCCCTTGTCGGACCACTTTTGTCAGGCAATAAATACCTATTGGTTCACCTCTCTTGATAACTTGGCTATCAGCAATATCAGTTCTCACAGTTATTGTCACCCCTAGTTTGCTGAAATGACTGCAAGCGACCTTTGAGATGGATGTGTGATGTTCACTGCATGGAACATCGGTCCCGTCAGGTCATGTGACCCCATCGGGGGGCTGAACCGAACCCCGACAGAACCCTCAGAGTTGATCCTGTGTTCAATGGGGCACAGCCTCTTCTGAGTAACAGGATTACTACTGGCCACACAGTCTGATGGGCCCATTAATTCCTGAGCTACTTGAGTTACCCCGGCTTATCTCACACCATACACAGTTTACTCTAGGGCCTGCCAGGAGGGACACAGACACTGACTCCTTTATTTCTGATCAGTTATCAAGTGTACTGTGCCGGTGTAGTACTTATCTCACATGCGGTCGGCTCCACATGCAGTGAACATTAGGAAACTGTTGCAGAGGGAACACTGATTTTGAGTTCTTGCTCATGATTCAAATTTTGATAATGCTTTTGAAGATTTGTTTGTGAAACGTGTAGTTTTCCTGAATCTTTCAAAATGATGCATTCTGAATACTTAGAGTCTTTTTGCAAGTATTCACGAGTAAAACCTCTGAATACCACGACTGAGGCAGTTTCAGTGTGTTTCAATGGGAAGATGACAGAAGTGCTGTTTACACCAGGGAAGTGTTTGTAAATATATTCCCATAACACATTTGGAATCTGGATCAATAATGGCGGCTAGTGGTCTCGTCATAGAGATATGCCTTTAACAGAAATCAGTGTGTTCTTGAAACTGTACTGGGATGGTGTACTTGGTGTATGTCTGTTGATGAGGCTGGTCTGCTGAGCGATGTCCATCTGGTCCAGAAGCCACAATGACCTGGCCAAGCTGGCCAAAGACCTTCAAGAAAGGAACAACCGAGTCAAGGCTAACGCTGCCAGGAGAGGAAAAGGTGCAGCTCGGAGACAGGCCAGCTCGTCAGACATTGCAGTGCTTAGAGAAAAGTCACTTGCATATGATACGTCTCACAGGAGAAGAACAGGAGATAGAACCAAATCTGTAAGATTTGTTTTGTCTGATGAGGACTGTGGCGATGAAATCACGACGGAAGCAGACTTGAGTGACAGTGGCCATTGTGATACCAGGCATAAATATCACAAAATCTGTGTCAACAAGGATGTGATGAATTATGAAAAAAGGCAAGCTAACTCAATCCTGTCCCAGAAGAGGCTGAACAAAGAGAGTAAGAGTAAGTCTAAATTCCATGGAAAACAGCTGGCATTATTCCCAGAACAGAATGATCAAAATAGTTTGTCACTGTGCAATAACACTCCAAGCCCAACCACAGATCCCAGTAACTCAAAAGAATCACAATCAGTAGACAACAACGTTATCAGATCAGATGATGCTGATGATGCCTCATCAGGATCAAACACGGAGGAGAAGGGTGTTTCCAGACAAATTCTCTTCTTACTACAGAAAGATTTCATCAATTCCTCCCAAGGTGACAGTAAACAGTGTTTGAATATGACTGACCTAGAGGGACTTCTATCCCTGCTGTCAGTTTCAAGGTCAAAGGATGCTGAGGACAAGCACAGGAACATGATCAGGATGGTAGAGACGCTCATCTTGAAGAGGAAGTCACTCCATCAAAAGAAAGGTCAAGCGCAGGATGAATTAGATGATACAAATGATAAAAATGCCAAAAAGGATAACATACCACAGAGGGGATCAAACGCTAGCAAAATTCCAAGAAAAAACATGAAGAACATGTCTCCTAATGTTTTGGCAGCAACAAAAACAGATGATGCACAAAAGCATGATGTAGTAAATAGGTTGAGTATAGAAAAACACATTGGTATGGATCAGGAGCACTGTTCTGTCGATGGGGATGGTAAAGGTGTTCCACAGAACGGTAACACTACAGGTAGTTCAAAGGAGGAAGAAAATGTGGATGGACAGCATGCATGGAATGTTTCTGATGATATTCACACCCCCAACACTGTCAGTAGGAGTAGGAAGGGGGATGAGTTAAAGGAGATGAGTGAGGATGAACATGATGAAACCAAAGAAAGAAGTCCAAGGGAAGAACTGCTTCATATGAAGGAACATGAACAAGAGACAGATGTGAAAACTTCAGGTGTAATTGTCAGATGCTGTGACATCATTGGAGAAAGTGGATCTACCAGCAAAGAATCATCTGGCATGGCACAAGGCAGTGGAGATGACGATGTATCAGTCCCTGGTGAATATTCTGGTGATGACTATAAGGTCTGTGCTGACAGCTGCATCCAGCCAATACTTCCAACAGATGGGGATGATGGTGGCCTCCATGTGGGATGTTACAGCAGTGGGGAAGAACATGGTTATGATTCACAGATCTCAGGACAGGAGCAGATAGCTTGGGGGGATTGTCAGAGGGACAGCAGTGGGGAAGAAAGTGCTCATGACTCAAAGATCTCAGGGCAGGAACTGGAGTTGATACAGATCTCAGGACAGGAACAGATAGCTGGGGGGAATTGTCAGAGGGACAGCAGTGGGGAAGAAAGTGCTCATGACTCAAAGATCTCAGGGCAGGAACTGGAGTTGAGTCAGATCTCAGGACAGGAACAGATAGCTGGGGGGAATTGTCAGAGGGACATCAGTGGGGAAGAAAGTGCCCATGACTCACCGATCTCAGGACAGGAACTGGAGTTGATACAGATCTCAGGACATGAAAAAGAGCTGACTGACCATCAGACGGACATCAGTGGGGAAGATCATAGTCATGAATCACAGAACTCAAGGCATAAACAGAAGTTCATACAGATCTCAGGACATGAACGTGTGGATAGGGGCAATTGTCAGAATGTCAGCAGTGGGGAAGAACATGGTTATGACTTAAATGCCCCAGGACATCAACAGGAGTCGGAGGAGGAACATCAGCATGACAGCTGGAAACTGCTCCACAATGTGGATGTATCAGAAATGTCTTCGTTTTCCATTAGCGGAAGTGATTCTTTATGTCCACATGCTGGTGATCTTAGTGAGCATGTGTTGAAGAGTCCTAATGTGTTTTCAGATACTTTAATGAGTAATGGGACTCCCCTTTCAAAAAATGATAATTCTGGAGCAAACATTACAACATTGCCATCCGTGGATGGCAGCGTCAAGGCATCTCTGGCAAACGGGGTTCAACATACAGAAACTATAGCCAATTGCGGAAACAAAGTTGATGTTGAGAAGAATCAAACAGATCATCGTCAAAAAAGACTTATTTCAAGTGAGACAGACATGCTGCCTAAAGATGACACATGGTTGAGCAGTGATAGCACTCAGTCATCATTCAGTAGCAGAGGGAACACTAAACAATACCAGGTACATGCTGACACAACCAGTCAGTCACCAGTAGCAGCAGGTAGCAAGTTTATGAGAGCACCATTCAGTAAAGGTTCTGAAATAAAGCATAATAGAAAACAGGGGTATTATGGCCATGAAGATTCATCCTCCTCAGAGAAACACCTTCACAGAAATTGCTCTGATATTGAGAGTGAAGCATTGATGAATAGTAGAGACCGTCAAGAGAAGATCCCCAGGATAAAAGAGATTTACTGTGATGGTGAAGTTGTTGCAGGAGATGCTGAAAGCAGAGGCTCACAAAGTGATGAGATCTATCAATGTACCTGTCATCGATGTGTGAGCTTCAAGAGAACAGAGCAACAAAGTGCTGTGCTCCAGAGAAAGAAGCCATGCTCCCCACCTGGTGGTATAAAACGTGGAAAATCCACTATTGATCGGAAACAACATCCTGAGGACGACAAACCAAGACGTAACGTACCTGTGAATTATAAGTGCCTGTGTTCTGTAGACAGGCAAACCATAGGGGATGGAGAACAGATCTTGTCCCTACCATTAGAAGAGGATGATCACCAGAGTAGACACAAGGCAGCACATTGGTCAAGGTGTACTTCTGATAGAGAGACACATCTTTCATCAACAACTTCTCCTTGCTGTGACTATAGGAAAAACAAGCATTCTTCAAAATGTTTAAGTTTCAAAGAAGAATCTGACCAGAGTTTGGAAGATACTGGACATTGTGGACGTAAACATGTACACAAATGGCAAAGGCCATCATCCTCACATAACCATTCACCTAGGGCATCCAAACACTACAAATCTGGTCACAATAGTCCAAATTCTAATACATGTAAAGGGAGACAGGGTGCAGGGTCACATGTTCGTGGAAAGAAGTGTGATGATGTTCTGTCATCATGGTCAGGGTTAAGTAACTGTCAGTGTTGTTGTCTAGTTGATGTTTCAGATTCTTCCAGAGTTTCAGGAGTTTCCCAAAATTCTGATAGTTCATGGTCATCACGACCATCTAAATGTTCGCCTAATAATAGATCAAAACATGTTTCTTTCCATGAAAATGAAACCAATAAACAATGCAATTACCCTCTGTGTGACATTTCCGACACTTTAAGTTCTGACAAGGAATATATAGACTCTCGAACACATTTACAAAAAGGCCATAGGCACAGAGTTAAGCCCTCTGTGCATAGCAGTGATAAGCAGTTGTATGAAGCAAACTCCTATAAAGGAAAAGGCCATAGAGTCCACAAGTTTGCAGAGCCTACTGTACATAGAAGTGATGAACAACTGTGCAGTGTGAAATATAACCCTGGGCTGTGTGAGACGGCAGTTGAAAACAGTTATGAGACTAACAGCAAGTCTAGCATTGAGTCTGCCCCAGCTGACAGTGAAGCAGGAAGTGGTGTTCAACTGGTAGATGCCCGGACACTCCAGGACATCCTGGTAGACTTTCAGCAGCTGTTTGTTTGTTTGTCCAGAGACTGCCAGCATCTGGAACAGGAACAGGAGCTGTGTGAGGCAGGATCTCAAAGGTCAGCCGAGCTGGTGGACAAGGCAGCTGGGTCAGAGAGAATGGAGAGTCCCGAGTCCTCTTTAGAGCACCTGGACTCTGAGTTTGACAAAGTGCTGGCGGACATGAAACCGTATGTCCTCAAACTGCCACACAAAGCAGGTGAGAGCTCATTTTGATGTAACATGTTCAGTAATAATATGTAAATTGGTTTCAGTTCAATGATTGCAAGAGTAACTATGTTCATGTTTTTTTAATACTAATTCCATTTAGAACATATACAATATTACTATGACAACAGGAAGTTCACATCTTTCATGTATTCACTATTTTGTGCAAGGGTGAATATGCATGAAATATTCTGTAGCATAAACAAACAGGGCTGTTCACGTGATTGGAACTAGTTTTGGTATGAGTGTCCGTATAAAGGCATATAGAAGTTGGATGTAACCATGAAAGGAGGATTATTGATAATAACTTCTTTATTATGCATAAACAACGTTTCAGGGCTACTTCTTGCCCCTTCATCCCAAGTCATCCCTGAAGTAGCCCTGATGTGAGATAGGGTGAAATTAGGTTTAACTTCGCGTCTAAGATTATTGCATTTATATAGCTCTGTGTGTGTGTGTGTGTGTGTGTGTGTCTGTGTGTGTGTCTGTGTGTGTGTGTGTGTGTGTGTGTGTGTGTGTGTGTGTGTGTGTGTGTGTGTGTGTGTGCTTGTACTAGTCCGGACTGATGCTGATTTATAGTGCTAGCCCACTGCGACACCATGCAACAGTTTGACATGAATACCCCACTCAGCCACTCATACTGACTTCGAGCCAACCAGTCCTTGTTTTAGCCATAACGCCGAGCACCAGGCAGAGTAACAACAAATACCATCTTTATGTCTTTTGGTATGACCTGGCCGGGGTTCGAACCCTGTACCTTCCACTCTCCAGACAGACACTCTACCACGGAGGCGGTCAAAGTAGCCCTGAAACATTTTGTATGTATACAATGGAAGATATATTATGATACTCCTTGTTGTTGTTTTGTTTTCTTTACAAAGATTAAGCCTGTTCAATTTTCTTAACCTTTTCATGCTCATCTCAAGAACTGAATTATTTTTTTATCATGCCAAAATAACAACTACTGTATTCGACGTAATAAGCGCCCAGCTCTAATAAGCATGATAAGCGCCCACGGCGATATTTGATAATATATTGGCTAGTGAACAATCCCAATTAACACCCCTTCCGATTGATCAATGTATACAAGACTTATATATTCGCGTATAATACGCACTCATCTGTTATATGCACACTTAATTATGGGCAATTAAATTCTGGAAAAATATATCTGTCGTACATAAACATTTCAGGCTGTCAGCATAAACCACGAAATTTATCTTTTCTATGGTTTTTTTCACTAAAACGATATTCTAATAAGAGCCCCCTATTTCTAATTTTGAGAGCGCCCTGGGCCCTTATTACGTCGAATACGGTGTATGAAAAGCGGTTCATTTGGACGTTATAGCAACCCTTTCAATGTGTTGATAGGAACAATCTAAACACGGATTGGAATTCGGAGGTCATGATCACCGTAATTTAATTGCATTACTGTTACCTGAAGAGAACAAATGTATTCATTTGACATCATGCTATGATAATCTGATACATGTGGACAAATGATACGGATCTAAAGCCGTTTACAGCTTGAAGTGTTAATGAATCTCTCACTAAGCAATGCTGAGCTATTATCAAAAGTATGTTTGATGTGTATCGTGTTGATGGCCCGATCTCAGGTGCTTGATTGGTTGTTTGGTCTCCAATATGTCAGCTATTGTCCTTGTATTGTCTCACGCCACTGGCCACAGGGACACAGCATTGTTATCCCTGGGCTTCGTAACAGAGATTTATGTCATACAATAAGCCTTAAATATGAAAATACAGCCCACAGCCAAATTGTTTCAAAGAGGGTCAACACTGTCACATTGTTCGTCATGCTGCATACAACAAAGGCCTGTGTCTTGTCACGTAATGTCTTTTGAGAGATAACATTTGTATTTTATTCCTTAGTGCTTCCTGTTGGTGCTTTTAGTGCCGGGTGGTGAAAATATGAGAAACCTATTATCATGATTATCAAACCCTGTACATTTTCACAAGATGAGTAATGTATATGGGTATTGGGTCAATGCAGTCTACTCCCTGTAGTAGACAGGCGGAATGCAGTCTACTCCCTGTAGTAGACAGACTGAATGCAGTCCTCTCCCTGTAGTAGACAGACTGAATACAGTCTACTCCCTGTGGTAGACAGTCTGAATGCAGTCCTCTCCCTGTAGTAGACAGACTGAATACAGTCTACCCTCTGTGGTAGACAGACTGAATGTAGTCTTCTCCCTGTGGTAGACAGACTGAATGCAGTCCTCTCCCTGTGGTAGACAGACTGAATGCAGTCGACTCCCTGTGGTAGACAGACTGAATGCAGTCCTCTCCCTGTAGTAGACAGACTGAGTAGTCTACCCTCTGTAGTAGACAGACTGAATGCAGTCTACTCCCTGTAGTAGACAGACTGAATGCAGTCTACTCCCTGTAGTAGACAGACTGAATGCAGTCTACTCCCTGTGGTAGACAGACTGAATACAGTGCTCTCCCTGTGGTAGACAGACTGAATACAGTCTACCCTCTGTGGTAGACAGACAGAATGCAGTCTACTCCCTGTGGTAGACAGACTGAATACAGTGCTCTCCCTGTGGTAGACAGACTCAATACAGTCTACCCTCTGTGGTAGACAGACTGAATGTAGTCTGCTTTCTGTGGTAGACCCCTGAGTCATGGGTGACTTGTGTTGTCGAAGACAGACTGAATACAGTCTAGCCCTGATTACTGGGGGATCAGAGGCACAGTGGATGTGATTAGTTACCTGTAACGGTTGAGCCAGGGGATTACTTACCTGTATGCAGCCTAGTTCAAGAGTCTGGTTATCATGGTGGGATTATGTTGATTGACAGATCGCCAGAGGTGTGCCGTGTGGATCAAGAAGCTGTGTGAGCCACCGGCTGCAGGTGTGACAGGAAGGTGAGGAGTGACTAACCACTGCAGAATACTCATACAACTTGTTGCAAAAGTCATCATTCACGTTTACTTTCCTGCCTGGCTCATTGTGTATTTCCACCTTATGCCACACAATTATTGATCTTTTGTAAACATATCTTGATAATGATTCGAATGACACTATCACCACATGTCTTTTACATGACAGGGCATGTTCGCCCGAGGTTATGTTTCTAGGTTTGTCAGCACCATACTCGGGCTCGTGGGTTTCACCGAAGTGGTAAACGTCCGAGACCTGCATCTCTTTGGGCTTCCTCTCACATTAAGATGACACGCCGTGATATAAATGGAATACTGTTAAAAGCAGCATTAAACCCAACTCACTCACCCACTTTTACATGACATAATCACAATAATCTTCACTGTCTAGTGACTTGCTACTCTGAAGAACTACTGGTTGTCCTGACAATGTACACATTTGAGATATTTCATACACTGATCATAATTACTATCTTTCAGTTAACCGGAGTGAGTGAGTGAGTGAGTATGGTTTTACACCGCTTTTAGCAATATTCCAGCAATATAACAGTGGGGGATACCATAAATCGGCTTCATACATTGTTCCCATGTGGGGAATCGAACCTGGGTCTCCGGCATGACGAGCCAATGCTTTAACCACTTGGCTACCCGACAGCCCCATGTTAACAGGATGGGCAGTGGGGTGGCCTAGTTGTTACTGTGTTCCCTTATCACTCCGAAGACCCTGAATCGATTCCCTACATGGGTACTATGTATGAAGTTCATTTCTTGTGTCGTGATGTTGCTGGAATAATGCCAAGGTGGTATAAAATCATACTGACTCACTAAGCTGTAATTTGTCAATAGAAATTCTTTCTTGTCATCTGAGCTTCCATCAATCCCAGAATGCTTTGTATTCCAGGAAGAACCGGAACATGTACGGGCAGCTGATGCTGCACATGCTCAGAAGAGGCGTGCTGGAGGGACCATTTGACAAACGACCTTCAGGCGGGTCACTGCCTACCCTACCTCCATATATGGTAAGAACTTACTAAGTAAGAAACCATACTTGTGTGAATGCCTAAAATGGGAACTAAAATGCACCCAATGTTTTCGTTAATGTTCCAAGGGTTCATTCTGTTGTCATGGTTATCACGGGTGTTGTATTTTGGGACTGTTGAGGAAATGTCTGAAACATATTATGCTCTAAAATTTAGGTTTCCTTATTCAAAATTTCAGTCCATCTATTTCGATGAGCCAATGACAGGTACAGATGGACAAGCAAGGGAGGTAACTCACATTTTCTGTTTATGTTCAATGGGATACATATTTGGGCATGTTGGGATAAGCCATCCTCAGTAATCATTCATCTGCTTTTGTCAGTCGTCACGCCGAAGACCCGGGTTTGATTCTCAACATGGGTACAATGTGTGAAGCCCATTTCTTGTGTCCCCTGCCATGATATTGCTGGAATATTGCTAAAAGAGGCATAAAACCAAACTCACTCACTCACTCACTCTGCTTTTCTCAGAAGCTCCCATGATGTCACCTTCAGACATAATTTCTGTAGCTTTAATTTGCCCTACAGTAAGCATGGATAGGCTCTTTAACTAAAGTTTGTTTCAAGGTGTCAATAGCGATAATCTGACCATGGTTGCTGTAAATAATGGTGACTTGTGCGATCAACCGATAACTTCACCATATTCACACACGATTTTGCCAAAATTAATGTAAACAATATTGAATGAAATTTTGAATAAAATTACTAAAATACATTATAAACATAAGGCCAGATATAGAATGATCACATTTTTATAACCAGATGGTATAAGAATGAGATTAAATTGTGTACTTCAGTTCGGATTTGTTGACTGGTAATTGTGGTGTTACGTGATCAGCTGATAATGTTTTTTTGAGAAGGGGAAAAACATTGTGTCAGTGTTGTACTTGAGTTTATTAAGAATGTTAAGTCAATTTTGGGAGCCATGCATTACCGCACGCTATAACTGAGTTAGCACTGTATTGAATGGCGCAATACCGAGGGAACACTGTATGACTTAACTTCTTTTGAGTAGTATATGTAGTATATATTCTCTACTATACCATGATCTAATGTCACATGATAGCAGCAATCATGGTGTAGTGTTCCTCTCACTTCAAATTACGTCACACCAAGAATCATCCTGTGTTGTCACTTGTCATGTCATTGATGATTATTTCCATGGTTGCCAGGGTGACAAGGTGCCAGACTGGGTGAACGGAGAGCTGCTGGAGTCTGTAGGATCCTCCATGGTCCGCCGGTCGCTAGGCAACCCTGCCGCCACCTCCACCTGGCTGTCCGGCAGTTCGACTGCAGCACATGACGTGCGAGAGAGGTTCAATGCTGTTTTCTACTCCCCACAGCGTGTGCTAAGGCAGGCGTGTTCTGTTTTCAGCATGGCATGGTGCATGCATGCATGAGATGGACTCTCAGCCTCAACTACTAAAATATTCTCATACAAAATATATTTACTTATAAAATTCTAAAAATCTAATTTAGCTCATGAGCCGCTATAATACTGAATAATACAATCTGACAATCTAAGCTAAGAGCTAAAAGAGGTATCAGTTGGTCACAATGCAGCTTGGCTCTACTTTTGAGGGTGACCACTGGGAAGACAGATCCTAATTTACCTGTTAATATGTGTATAGATCCCCTGTATCACTAATTGATTGACACATTCACAACTACTGGGCCATATGCCCAAAAAACAAATATTAATTGCATAGAGCTGTTGTCATGGTTACATATGCTTGCCCTCCTCAATTATCCTTTGTATAATACCTGAATATTTATCTCCATTCTGTTATGATAAATACCCTGCCTACATTCACTGCAGTAGCTTTATTTTGAGTCTGGTTTGAGTAACACTGCTAATAATATCTGTCCAATCAACACTGTACTTTTATCATTGTTTGTTGTTTAACTCTACACTCAGCAATATTCCAGCTTTATGACGACGGTCTGTAAATAATCGAGTCTGGACCAGACAATCCAGTGATTGACATCATGAACATCAATCTACGCATTTGGGATGCGATGACATGCATCAAGCAAGTCAGCGAGCCTGACCACCCAATCTAGTTAGTCGCCTTTTATGACAAGCATAGCATGGGTTGCTGAAGACATATTCTACTCTGGATTCTTCACGGGTCACTTTTATCATTGACAACAAGTAGCTATATCACCAGTCCTCGCTTTGTTGGTGTCATCTCATATAGATCTGCGAACGTCATGTAGCACTGGATTTTATACACAGGAAACATCTTTTCCAGCTAAAAGCTCATTTACAGCTGAGCAGTTTTCTGATATGATTAAACAAATCAACATGATCAAGGCTTGCTTGCAGAAGTTGTGAGTTTTAAGATAGATCTTTGCTGAACTTTCAGAGGAGGTGTTTAGATTGGTTGTTGATTTCCAGCTCTTGAGTGAGAGAAATTCTGTGCTAAGTTACTGATAAGACAGACGGAAATAAGGATGTCACTTCTGAAACTAAAGCGACAAAACAAGTTCCATATTGATAAGAAATCTTCTAAAAGCAGTCGATTTTACAATTCTGACTATATCATGAGCATGTGTTTATGAATCAAATAGTGATGATACCTGGTGTTTGTGAAAGGTATAAGCTCATCCTGCTCTATCGGTGACACCCATCACAAACACATGCAAAGGCAAGTCAATTGTTCTGAAAAAACACGGGAACATGTCAAAACAGGGAATTGCATCAGACACAATGTGTGTCACTGATGTGTCAGATTTGGAAATGTTACCAATAAACCTTTCAAAAGCTTTACTGAGGCCTTGAATGTTTTAACCTTGATCAAACAACTTCCGAGCAAGAGTCGTATGATGCCGTTTGACATCTTGGTAGAAAGAGCATGCTTGATTGTACCTCATAAGTTGTGAAATGTAGACACCAAGGGCTGGAGCTGCTGGAATATTGCTTGGCATATAGGGAAAGCTAACTATTGGAATACAGTCTTGTGGAGAGGGTTTTGTCACTCTGAATCTTTATGCAAAGATCTAAATATGAAACAGATGAAGTGGTCTCTCTGGTCTCAGTGGAAGGGAATTGACTATTTGATGGTTATTGAACAAAATCAGATTATCGATATACCTGAAGCTTAGTTAAACATCTTGGCCAAATTAACTTGTTTTCACTTTGCCAATCCGAGCTGAAATTTTGATTCCTATGCATAAAGAAATAGATCAGCACGAAGGGGAACACAATATGTGCCCATGGGGATGCCTACCTACGTCTTGCCTTAATGTCTTACCCCAAAAGATTACGTAGATGTTATCAATGAGGAAGTCCAGCATTTCAAGTAGTATTTTCTCAGTAAAATCCAAACTTCAAAGGAAGCTGTAGTGGCAAATGAGTCCAGGTGTATAGTGTAATAGAATGGAAGATACAATACTCTAGATAATCAAGGATGTATGCCCTCACACTCAGTAACACCTGTTATATCACACCCATGAAGATTCCGGGGTAGAATAGGTCTTTAGCAACCCATGCTTGCCGTAAAAGGCGACTATGCTTGTCGTAAAAGGCGACTAACGGGATCGGTTGGTCAGGCTCGCTGACTTGGTTGATACATGTCATCGATCCCAATTGCGTGGATCGATACTCATGATGTGGATCACTGGATTGTCTGGTCCAGACTCGATTATTTTACAGACCGCCGTCATATAGCTGGAATATTGCTGAGTGCGGCGTTAAACAACAAACAAACAAACAAACAAATGTTATATCACACTTACAACCTGAAGCTATTGCTGTTGCCAGTAAATGGGGTATATATTCTGTTTAAGAAACATATTCAGTGAATGTATTCCTAAGATGTCAGGGGGGCACGGGTGGCACTGTGCAGAGTTGCGTCCCTTGGGCACGCCAGAAACCTATGATTGTGGGTTTGAATCCCGGTTCACCCCGATTATGTTTCAAGGTTTGTCAGCACCATAACCATGCTTGTGGGTTTCACCGAAGTGGTAAACGTCTGAGACCTGCATCACTTCGGGCTTTCCTCCCACATTAAGCTGACACGCCGTGATATAACTGGAATACTGTTAAAAGCGGTGTTAAACACAACTCACTCACTCACTAAGATGTCCGAGTGCTGGAAAAACCTATTGACACATAGCAAAAAACTGATACTTAAAGTTGATCACATGTGAAGTATTTACATGTATTTTGGGTCGCCTGAACTGTAGGTTCACTGTGTGTGTTTGTCATAGCATATTGTCTGTAGTTATCCATGCTGAAGAAGCATTTTACATTTGCACAGCCAGTATAAATCACAAGACAGGGATTTATCCAGGATTCTAAACTAAGTGCCCCGGCATACAAATTGGTAAAGAAATGTTCTTCGTTGTGTATATTAACATTAATTGGGAAAACTTCCAGTTCCATTTTGGGAAATTTTCATGACATTTGCTGTAGACTTAGGGCCAAATATCTGCCATTACTTGAACCTACAAGTATTCTTATATATCTGTTAATACTTTTGTGCCCAGTAATTATGTAGAACATATTTGAATAGCTATGCTGGCAGCAACTTGCTTTCTTTGTTAACATACTAACTGTTGACTACACATCCAGATGAGCTGCAGTGCTGTGGCACTATTTTTAATTTATCTTTTTTGGTAGAATTATTGGTTACAGTTATCATGGTTAATAATGATTTCTTAATGTTATTACACTTTTGTCATATTTGTTTAATTATTTCTTAATTTTCAAATATTTTGTTATTCAAAAGTAGTTGAAATATATTTTTTCCATGTGCTACAATGGCCACACAGCCCCTCGAACATTTTTATACTTGCAATTTTTCCCAAAGTATTATTTTACAAAATGTAATCTTTAATTGTAAGATTTATCATGATTTCCAGCAGATGTAAAATGAATGCTGCAAGACAGACCTTGGGCTATGAAAAAAAGGAAATATTTCCTGGACACTGGCGCTGAGCATCGGTTAATTTTTATTGATAAAACTGCTTGTTTTTCAAATTTCCTGCAGTATATGACATGTATGAAGCATAATCTGTTGTCCGTAACATAACATGCTTGACAACTGACACTGTATTAGAGTTGCCCAGTTGTGTTTGCCCAGTTGTGTTTGTTGGTCCTACCTCCATTCTCACTTCTTTTTTTTAAAATGTGTCCGAAAAAATTCATTTGTTTCAGCCTGATCTATTTGTTCTGCATTTATCTGAAGGATAGGAAATTATTAATCTCTGTAAAACATATATGTGTTAACAGTGAAGTCAGTGCCTATTTCCTCTTCCAGACCCTACTCTAGCCTGGGGGTGAGTCTGGACAAGGACCCCAGTCTGTCCCCACCGTGGCGCAGACCCGAGGGAGGGGCAGTCGGATCCCTGCTGGTAATACAGAGTTTATGTTACAGGAAGTGTAGGTCTGTGGGGATAGCAGTAGCCCAGTGGAAGGGTGTCCGCTTATCTCACATAAGTCCAGGTTTGATTCCTGGAGCAGACACATTATACCAAGGCTCTGCTAGTTTGGTCCTGTTCTCATGACAGTGTTGCGATGCTGACTATGTAAGTCATGTTATAAATGTCTTATTCTATTTTTGGTAAACAGCTTCATTAGTAGCAAAATTAAATACTGTAGATTATTAAATTAATGCATCACCAAATTAATGCAAGTGTTAAACCCCCTGACCTAAATGCATCATGAAATTAATACAAGTAGGCCTGCCTTAGTGTGTGCTATGACTCATGAATATTGTCTTTTCAAATGTAGATAGCATGTTATTTCTTAACAAAATGTACAAGCATCATTCCTACTACGTACACATGTGACCGCCCCCATGGTCTAGTGGTAGAGCGTCCGCCCGGAGAGTGGAAGGTCAGAGGTTCGATCCCCGGCAGCTTCATACCAAAACACGTTACAAGATGCTACTTGGTGTTACCCTGTCTGGCACTTGGCATTAAGGGGCTAAAACAAGGACTAGTCAGCTCGGAGTCAGTATACTGTGTCTGAGTTGGGTATTCATGTTAAACTGCGTCTTGGTATGTCAGCGAGCTAGCACTATAAATCGTCATAAGTCCGGACTAGTACAAGCAGCCACACACACACGTGCATGCACGTCGCTATATAAGTGCAATAATCTTGGATGCGACATTTAACCCCATTTTTTAACCTCAGTTCACCTCACCTCACCTCACCTCACCTCACCTCACCTCACCTCACGTACACATGTACCCTTACTACACGTGTGATAGGTATTCCCTTTTCAGTTGTGAATGTGATATCCTATGGCTTGATGTGAGATTAGAGTGCTGGCTGTGTGTTTCAGACCAGTGACATGGACTGGAGTAAGCCCTACAGCTCCACCACATCTCTGGGCAGCTCTCTTGCTAAAGGTAAACACCTGCCTACTTGACCTGTCAGTCACAGGGTGGCATATTACAGTTATACCCCACTACGCTCGTATCTCCTCACAATTTCAATACAATAAGCATTCATCGTTATGCATATTTACTTTGTGTTTCATTGTTTTGATCTTGACATATGTTTCCCATTCCTTAGATTTCTGTTGATTTCTCTTATCATTTCCAGCTAATATTTGGAGTGTCCTATTTGACATATCCAAGAGGTCAAGGACCCACACAGCTATGGAGTAGCTAGTCTAGGTGACAAAATTCATGTTCTCACCATATACTGCCCTGATACCAGGATGTGAAACTGTGATGTATTGATTATGACATGTTTTAAGTTCAGACGTAATAAGAAAGTATATTTTGTGAGTAAATTGGACACTATAATTATTATTTATTTTGAAGGTGTTCTTGCAGGTACAACATTCCAAGACGACAGCAACATAGGAAGAGGAGGGGCGAGAGAAGTGAGTTATATTCCTTGTCTTTATCTTATAGATATCACTGTCTATAGCTGGAATTGCTGAATGAGGCATTAAACAGCAAACAAGAAACATATTTGTGGAATATGTGAAATATTCTTGGTCATGGTTTCAAAAGGGTATCCCCACTGCATATTGAAATTATCATTTATCATTCATCAAATATTTGAGTATAAGGTGATGTCTTGATAATAGTTATCATAATCATAATCATCATCATAATAATAATGGATCAGTATACAACCCAAGCTGCCTGTTAGGTTCTAGGAGGTTAACAACAACATTGTGGTCACCCATCTAGGGACTCTCCATGACCGACATTGCTTAACTTCACCTGATTTGTGACCTGTAGGACCACATGCCATCACACGTAATTATCTTTAATGAGGGCATGTATGTATATGTACCAATACTGAAATGATTCACAGTATCCCAGCATGTGGTTCTTCGGTTTAGATTGAGCTCAGGACCAAGATGGTGGAGGCCAAGTACCATGAAGAGAAGCTGAAGCTCCAGCAGAGACATGATGCAGCTGTACAGAAGGTGAGTTTTCAGGGAACACAGCTTTGTTAAGTAGTGTATCTGTACAGAAGGTGAGGGTTTGGGAAACATGGCTTTGTCAAGTAGTGTATCTGTATAGTAGATGAGAGTTTGGGAAACTCAGCTTTGTCAAGTAGTGTATCTGTATAGTAGATGAGGGTTTGGGAAACTCAGCTTTGTCAAGTAGTGTATCTGTATAGTAGATGAGAGTTTGGGGAACTCAGCTTTGTCGCGTAGTGTATCTGTTCGGAAGGTGAGGGTTTGGGGAACCTATATTTCAAATAGTGTATCTGTACAGTTGATGAGAGTTTATTTCAAAATGAGCTTTGTCAAGTAATATGTCTGTACAGAAGATGAGGGTTTGGGGAACTCAGCTTTGTCAAGACCTGTATTTGTACCGAAGCTAAGGGGAACTTGAACTGCATCAAGTAGTGTATATGTACATGTGAGGTTGGTAGGAACTGTCTAGCAGTGTATCTATACTTTAGTCAAATCTGCAAGTATGAATAGGCTATTATGCTTTAATATGAGTTTCTTGAATAAGAAGTTTCATGTTCTGTTGTTTTTTTCATGTGTCCTCTGTGTATGTGTCAGATCTTGGACAGAAAGAATGCCGAGATTGAGGATGTGAAAAGTCATTACCGAGGCAAAGCCAAGGACAGCGAGGACACCACAACTAAACTGGAGAGGAAAAGTAAGAAGCCCTGTCACTTATTTGTAGTTTTTCAGACTGTCGTATGTCCACTATAGGTAAGGGGACTTTGATACCATTAGCCTTTCAGGAGACCATGAAACAAGTGTTGGCTTTCAGAAGGAAATATCACAACATTCACGCCATGTGTTACATAGTTATTGCTGTGTGTTACAGTCCAGTCTCTGGTGAAGGAGATGTCACAACATTCAGGCTGTGTGTTAGATAGTTATTGCTGTGTGTTACAGTCCAGTCTCTGGTGAAGGAGATGTCACAACATTCAGGCTGTGTGTTAGATAGTTATTGCTGTGTGTTACAGTCCAGTCTCTGGTGAAGGAGATGTCACAACATTCAGGCTGTGTGTTAGATAGTTATTGCTGTGTGTTACAGTCCAGTCTCTGGTGAAGGAGATGTCACAACATTCAGGCTGTGTGTTAGATAGTTATTGCTGTGTGTTACAGTCCAGTCTCTGGTGAAGGAGATGTCACAACATTCAGGCAGTGTGTTAGATAGTTATTGCTGTGTGTTACAGTCCAGTCTCTGGTGAAGGAGATGTCACAACATTCAGGCTGTGTGTTACATAGTTATTGCTGTGTGTTACAGTCCAGTCTCTGGTGAAGGAGATGTCACAACATTCAGGCTGTGTGTTAGATAGTTATTGCTGTGTGTTACAGTCCAGTCTCTGGTGAAGGAGATGTCACAACATTCAGGCTGTGTGTTACATAGTTATTGCTGTGTGTTACAGTCCAGTCTCTGGTGAAGGAGATGTCACAACATTCAGGCTGTGTGTTACATAGTTATTGCTGTGTGTTACAGTCCAGTCTCTGGTGAAGGAGATGTCACAACATTCAGGCAGTGTGTTAGATAGTTATTGCTGTGTGTTACAGTCCAGTCTCTGGTGAAGGAGATGTCACAACATTCAGGCTGTGTGTTAGATAGTTATTGCTGTGTGTTACAGTCCAGTCTCTGGTGAAGGAGATGTCACAACATTCAGGCTGTGTGTTAGATAGTTATTGCTGTGTGTTACAGTCCAGTCTCTGGTGAAGGAGATGTCACAACATTCAGGCTGTGTGTTAGATAGTTATTGCTGTGTGTTACAGTCCAGTCTCTGGTGAAGGAGATGTCACAACATTCAGGCTGTGTGTTACATAGTTATTGCTGTGTGTTACAGTCCAGTCACTGGTGAAGGAGATGTCACAACATTCAGGCAATGTGTTAGATAGTTATTGCTGTGTGTTACAGTCCAGTCTCTGGTGAAGGAGATGTCACAACATTCAGGCTGTGTGTTACATAGTTATTGCTGTGTGTTACAGTCCAGTCTCTGGTGAAGGAGATGTCACAACATTCAGGCTGTGTGTTACATAGTTATTGCTGTGTGTTACAGTCCAGTCACTGGTGAAGGAGATGTCACAACATTCAGGCAATGTGTTAGATAGTTATTGCTGTGTGTTACAGTCCAGTCTCTGGTGAAGGAGATGTCACAACATTCAGGCTGTGTGTTACATAGTTATTGCTGTGTGTTACAGTCCAGTCACTGGTGAAGGAGATGTCACAACATTCAGGCAATGTGTTACATAGTTATTGCTGTGGGTTACAGTCCAGTCTCTGGTGAAGGAGATGTCTATGATGCGGGACATGAAAGACAGACAGCTGGCAGACCTCAAGAAGCTGGTGGATGATACCAGTGACTCTCGCAAGAATGAGTATGACAAAAAGGTATGTCAAAATTGAGTCATTTTCAGGATCCTAATTAATCTTACGTATCAGATTTGTTGTCTTTGATTTATGTCAAAGAATTCATGACTTTGTTATCTCATCCAAACTTATCCACTGTTGATCAGTTGGTTTGCCCAGATGCTTCTATTAAAGTTTGTCCATGTGGTCCTGTTCCAAGATGTTTCTGTGTGTTCCAGCTCCATGACACCACAGCCCATTTCGAGCAGGAGAAGTTTGAGATGCAGAAGCAGCACACTAGGAACATCCAGGAGATCTTAGACGACACCAACGCCCGACTCCAGCGCATGGAGAAGGAGTATACCCAACAAATGTCATCCAATGTTAGTACAATCGAATGCTCCACATCTAGCAGAAGTATGTTTTACCTTACCTGACGTTATACAATGCTATAGGTGTAGCGTCAGGTAAGCATAAAAACATTGCATTTAATCAGAAATGCTCATACTTAACAATATGGTGGATTCAAATGACTCCAAATTGTTGACATGGTTTCAACAAGAAAAGCAAGACTCTTTCCATGTTCCAATAAAATGACTGAGAAATTAATTAGGCGATATCTTTGATGATGGAACAGTAAAATCTTAGATCCATAGAATAAACTATCATTTATCTTTTAGTGATAATGAGGCAACGTACAACTATATTGATAACAACTTCTGGTTTATTGCATTAGTGATGTATCGATGTAAATTCATACACCGTTATCAAGCTAGAAAGACTACAACCAAGTGATGAGAGGTATATCTTCAAGATATGTTGTGATATGAAGCAGATTAACGTTAACAACGACAGGTAATTGACAACAAATAGCACACAGAAAATTGGATGAAGACAGATGAACAGAAGGGTGTTAGGTGTTGTTGCAAGCTTGATTGGATACTCACATGAGTCTATTGCTTGACCGCGTTGTCACAGGAAGAGGGGATGTAATACCCTTGATCTTAGCGATATTGTTAAAAAGATTTCGCCCTCATGGCGTTTGATATTTAATATGTCAACAGCATAGCCTCTGAGTTTTCTCCTTTGATAATTTTGTGCCAATATATTCTGCTATGAAAAGACAGTGATGAGATTGTGTGTTGGTGCCAGACGAACGTGATCAGGGAGCTGGAGTCCCGAGTGCAGCAGCTGACATCCGAGGTGGAGCAGCAGCTAAAGACGAGGTCCGGCCTGGAGGAGGAGAAGACAAGTCTACAGGACACATGTGACCAGCTGACTGCACAGCTCGGGGATGTGAGAGACAGGTGGGGAAATACAGTAGCAGCAACTACTGCACTTGTCCATGATAGATAGCCTGTTTTTACATCCTGTGAAATACACTCATAGTAAAAAAAGATGTGTCTGAGTTCTCCTCATCCTATTCTCAACCCTGTGTGGAAACTAGGATTGAATAGAATTGATTCCAGAAAGTGATCTTAGCACTATGACTGTTGTAAGCCTATTTTCAAGTAGAAAGTTAGATCATTTTAGCTATGGTTGCTTTGTTGAACAGGTCCCTGCTCAGAGACCATTAATGCCTCAAGTCTGCAGCAAATTCCCAATTTGAAGTAAAAATGACCCAAGTCTTCAGAATTCAGAATTCCATTTTGAACAATATCACTATTCTTTCCCAGCTTGCCTGCCAAGGACGTTTTGTTTGGAATCCATGACAAATCCTTGCTCTCTACAAGTTTGTCAAATGAAAAGAACCTATTTTACATTCAGACTGCTATCAGCGGTATAAGAGGTACATGGGTGTCTTAAATATGTACCATGTATTCAAGGGTGTTGTAAGCTGGCTGTTGTGGGAGTTCTCACCCATCACACACTGCGAAGCAAGCTCAAGCCTGGTAAGACAGTGATATGCTGAGATGGCTATGGTTTAACGTCCCATTTACTCACTGATTCCTGTTCTATCCAGCTACAACCAGCTGGACCGGGAACACCAGCACCTGCAGGAGAGTCATGAACACGAGATGCGCACCCTGAAGCACAAGACTGAGGCCAGCCTGGAGTTTCTCAAGCAAGAGCACACGCTCGCTGCAGCCAAGGTGAACCATAGCATGGAGTAGATGTCTAGCACAACTGTTGTAGGGTTGTAGGGTTGTAGGGTTGTAACTTCATTACACTCAACTTGGTGTTGGTGTTTTTTTTAATTTTTTGGTCAGCAGTTTTTGTTGTCATTTAGTCATGTTAGTGGTAGTCTGTTTCTTGCTTGTCCCCTGCACCCACAAGTGGTGACAATTGTTAGTGGCAGTTTGGTAGTACATTAATGGCATGCATGTAATTTATTTGACATTTACAGACTATTTGTAAACAGCTGATCATTCAGAGTTGTGAACTGATGAGCGGCCCCATTACTCCCTCCCTGCTGTATTCGGCAGACATTCCCGTTCATGTTCATATGGTCTGCAGTGTTCACATTCGGCGGCGGCTTGTGACTATACTGTGACAAGGTGATGTGACTGTGATCATGTGATGTGACTGTGATCATGTGATGTGACTGTGATCATGCGATGTGGCTGTGATCATGTGATGTGACTGTGATCATGTGATGTGGCTGTGATCATGTGATGTGGCTGTGATCATGTGATGTGACTGTGATCATGATAGGTGACTGTGATCATGTGATGTGACTGTGATCATGATAGGTGACTGTGACAATGATAGGTGACTGTGATCATGATAGGTGACTGTGATCATCTGATGTGACTGTGATCATGTGATGTGACTGTGATCATGATAGGTGACTGTGATCATGATAGGTGACTGTGATCATGTGATGTGACTGTGATCATGATAGGTGACTATGATCATGTGATGTGACTGTGATCATGTGATGTGACTGTGATCATGATAGGTGACTGTGATCATGATAGGTGACTGTGATCATGATAGGTGACTGTGATCATCTGATGTGACTGTGATCATGTGATGTGACTGTGATCATGATAGGTGACTGTGATCATGATAGGTGACTGTGATCATGTGATGTGACTGTGATCATGATAGGTGACTGTGATCATCTGATGTGACTGTGATCATGATAGGTGACTGTGATCATGATAGGCGACTGTGATCATGATAGGTGACTATGATCATGTGATGTGACTGTGATCATGATAGGTGACTGTGATCATGATAGGTGACTGTGATCATAATAGGTGACTATGATCATGTGATGTGACTGTGATCATGTGATGTGACTGTGATCATGATAGGTGACTGTGATCATGATAGGTGGCTGTGATCATGTGATGTGACTGTGATCATGATAGGTGACTGTGGTCATGATAGGTGACTGTGATCATGTGATGTGACTGTGATCATGATAGGTGACTGTGGTCATGATAGGTGGCTGTGATCATGTGATGTGACTGTGATCATGATAGGTGACTGTGATCATGATAGGTGACTGTGATCATCTGATGTGACTGTGATCATGATAGGTGACTGTGGTCATGATAGGTGGCTGTGATCATGTGATGTGACTGTGACAAGGTGATGTGACTGTGATCATATGGGGGGGCACGGGTGGCCCAGTCGTCTAAGGCACCGCGATTCGCTGTGCAGAGTTGCGTCCCTTGGGTACGTCAGAAACCTATGATTGTGGGTTTGAATCCCGGTTTGCCCCGATTATGTTTCTAGGTTTGTCAGCACCATACCTGTGCCCGTGGGTTTCACCGAAGTGGTAAACATCTGAGACCTGCATCACTTCGGGCTTTCCTCCCACATTAAGCTGACACGCCGTGATATAACTGGAATACTGTTAAAAGCAGCGATAAGCCCAACTCACTCACTGTGATCATATGATGTGACTGTGGTCATGAGAGGTGACTGTGATCATGTGATGAGACTGACAAGGTGATGTGACTGTGACAAGGTGATGTGACTGTGACAAGGCAATGCGACTGTGACAAGGTCATGTGACTGTGACAAGGTCATGTGACTGTGACAAGTTGATGTGACAGTGACAAGGTCATGTGACTGTGACAAGGTCATGTGACAAGTTGATGTGACTGTGACAAGTTGATGTGACAAGGTGATGTGACTGTGACAAGGTGACGCTGTGACAAGTTGATGTGACAAGGTGATGTGACTGTGATAAGGTGATGTGACTGTGACAAGTTGATGTGACAAGGTGATGTGACTGTGACAAGGTGATGTGACTGTGACAAGGTGAAGCTGTGACAAGTTGATGTGACAAGGTGATGTGACTGTGACAAGGTGATGTGACTGTGACAAGTTGATGTGACAAGGTGATGTGACTGTGACAAGGTGATGTGACAAGGTGATGTGACTGTGACAAGGTGATGTGACTGTGACAAGGTGATGTGACAAGGTGATGTGACTGTGACAAGTTGATGTGAAAAGGTGATGTGACTATGACAAGGTTATGTGACTGTGACAAGGTGATGTGACTGTGACAAGGTGATGTGACTGTGATGAGGTGATGTGACAAGGTGATGTGACTGTGACTGCAGGCTGCGGATGCTGTGGGGGATATGGAGCAGCAGCTTGAATCCATGAGGAGGTCCATGAAGGAGTCAGACGAACACCGGCAGAAGCAGCTCCGAGTAAGATACCTCATATCTCTTTCTCACTACCTGCACTGATAATCAATATGTTTTCACATTGAGATTTACTGACTTCTGATATTCTGGTGAATATCGGTGTACTTAGTGTCAGGCTGTTATGAAAATATGTTGTTAAAGTGCAAGTCTCAAGGGTATATTCAACTTTGCAGATTTGGATAGATCACATGGACCAATCAGGTCTCATCATTCTGACATGGAGGTCTTATATCAGTTTTGTGAATCACGGAAAGATAAAAAATATCTCTATCAAAAGTGGAATAGTATAATTGTAGTGGTTTTATTTTCTTAGAATTGTAAGTGAAAATGTTCCATCAATGCTCCATGTTGTCTGGAAACAGGTTAAGTTGTGTGAGTTTTCTGTCCCCCAGATTCCAAGCATAGCATTAGTCACCATGGTAAGTGAGACAGAGTGTGCCGACCTACACTCACGCCCAGCTTGGCAGAACACTGTTACTGTGTGGCTGTTTGCTTCCATACCTCACATGTGGCAGCCTGATGTAATCCTTGTGAGATCAACTGACCCGTGTTTTACAATTAAATAATACTAGGTGTATTTGTGCTGAAACTGATGTGACATAAGCTGGTTCTGTTTCAAGAGGAAATACGATGCATGGTTCTATCTGTGACATGTGTGATGTACCATCAATATTCTAGCAATTTAAAAACCATTCTGGACTATGTGTATTGTTCTCAGTCTTCATAAATATCAACATTATTTGTATAATTTATTCCTAAAAAAGTATATGCTTTTAAAATTACGTACACTGAAACCTTACGTACAGTGCAACCTCAGTACAGTGCAATCTTACATACAGTGAAACCTTATGTACAGTGAAACCTTACATTCAGTGCAACCTTATGTACAGTGCAGTCTTACGTACAGTGCAACCTTAGGACAGTGCAACCTTACGTACAGTGCAGTCTTACGTACAGTGCAACCTTAGGACAGTGCAACCTTACGTACAGTGCAACCTTATTTACAGTGAATTCGTACATACAGCGATCAATCTCCATCAAACCAATTATCAATACATTAGTTGAGATGATGCAAAATGTTCAGGCAATATCTTTATCAGCAGATGTGATAGGTATAATGTTGACACTTGTTCGCTTATCTCAAACTATGCATTAGGGGGTTTACCATGATCTATAAAATTGCAGTCATAGGAACTTTTGGTATTACAACTTTGGGGTCCAAGGCATTCAAATGGGTGTCACTGAGACAACTAGACCCACAGCAAGTAAAAGTATGTGTGATGCATATGCTTTTTAATGGTTGGGGAGTTCCTTGTTTGAATAAAAACTTTGTAAATGAGTGCAGAATACCTGACATGGACTCTCTGAACATTTGTGTTTCAGATCAGAAGCTTCAGATAAACTTCCGTACATTTTTCAGTTGCATTAGTTTCAATAATTCCAACGTCCATACTCTTTCATGTCGATAGGGACTCGCAGGGAATGTTATTTGGGCCCAGGGTCAAGTCTTATTTTTACGAGTATAGAACACAATATTTTGAGTACAGTAAAAGCCAGGCCTGTTCCACAAAGCGATCTTGGAGTCACGACTTTGTAAGCCAATGTTAAAGTATGGGAGTTATCATTTTAGAGCTAAGGCCACTTTGTGGAACGGAGCCCTGATGGATAACTTGACCTACATTTGACTGCCCACTGACTTGGAGCAGAGTATGGCTTCATCTTAATGGAAAATCTAATTTGTTATTCATTTTATATTGGATGGTGTCAAACTCTTTTTCTCATTCATACTGATAGAATATTGTGAGGTTTCCAGTCTTACATTGTGCATAAATGTGAGTGAAACCTGCGGCTATATTTCAGGAGTTAGATCAAGCTCGGCAGCAGGAGAAACTGCACTTAGAAAACCTGCATGATAAACAGGTATTACTGACCCCAAGGCTGCGATGTGCATCCCTACACAAGAACCCTGTGTGTTATCTGTCCGATATGTCCCTCTGTGTAGGATTCTATGCATGATATTGCACTGTGTAGATATGCATGATATTGCACTGTGTAGATATGCATGATATTTGCCTGTGTGGGGCTGTATGCATGTTATTGCCCAGCACTTTGTGGTAGGAATGTATGATAATTAATTCCTTGCTTGGTGTTGTCTTTACAGCAGTTATCAGAGGTAATTGTTGATCTTTACATTGTAGATGTAGGTACTAGAGGCTTATAGGCATGTTAGAATTAATAATTACAAACTTGATATATATCCTGAATTTATAAGATCTCTGTTGGTATAAAAAAGACAATTTATACAATGGTTGATCAATATGAATAGCTGGTGGGGATTGTTTGATAGGCATTTCTTAGTTGACGAATGATAAAGTTGGCACAATGTATGGATAACAACTTCTTTATTTTACTGTAATGGCGGTGTTTCGGTATAGATCCTTGTACTGTTTTCAAGCATATATTGTGTGTATACAGGTGTCAAGACACCTAGCTTGCCAACGGTGTAAGGATATATACAGGCACATCGCCATTACAGTAACATAGAAGTTGTTATCCATAGATTGTGCCTACTTTGTCAACTGGTAGGAAGTCTGGTGTTGCAACCTCTGACGACTCAGCTCTCAGTTGTTGAAGTTAAGTGTTAACCAGGAAGCTGGAATGACTTCTCAAGGCTGCAACCCTGGTTTGTCTGCTCCAGGCCTGAGTACACAGCGCAGATTGATGATGAAACCATCAATGTATTGTGGGGATTTCACACTGCTGAGCTGATCCCCAGCATCCCTTGCTTGTTGCATCATGCTGGTTGATGGTTGTTCATGGTTTCAGTCACTGGTTTGTCTGGTTCAGACTTGATTACTTACAGGCTGCCATGTTGTTGTTGAAATATTGCTGACTGGCTGTAGACAATATTCGCTTACCAAACCTTAGGTCTTCTGTCTATCAGCATGAACTAACAGCCTTATTTGTTAATTCCAGTAGATGATAGTCCACACCCTCACTCACTCCAGTAGACTGGCTTACAGTCCACACCCTCACTCACTCCACTAGACTGGCTTACAGTCCACGCCCACCCTTACTCTCACTCCACTAGACTGGCTTATAGTCCCCACCCACCCTCACTCCAGTAGACTGGCTTACAGTCCACGCCCACCCTCACTCCAGTAGACTGGCTTACAGTCCACACCCACCCTCACTCCAGTAGACTGGCTTACAGTCCACGACCACCCTCACTCCAGTAGACTGGCTTACAGTCCACGCCCACCCTTACTCTCACTCCACTAGACTGGCTTACAGTCCCCACCCTCACTCACTCACTCCACTAGACTGGCTTACAGTCCCCACCCTCACACATTCACTAGGTTCAGCTTGTACAACAAGGGTTGTAGTCTCACCTCACTCACCCTCCCACTCACTCCCCATGTGTGTTTAGTGTTGACTCCTACTTTTCCTTATTTTTCTAATCATTTTAGACATTTGGGTTTGGTTTAGTGTTTTTTAACATGTTTACTAATTTATTTTCAACCATTTTTGTAGACTATTAATTAAGGTATTTTGGTTCATTTATGAAATCGTCAAATTTGTTTGAAAGCATGTATATTGTATAGATTTATTCCTCGCATACCATGGTAAGACATTTTCCATAAAAACTATTATGTTGAAGATTTTTGTTGCATAAATGATGATGTGAAATGTAATATAAGTTCAAGTAAAGGTAAGGTTCATATTCCCTCTATTATGTGAGGTTTGATGTTATCATCTAACGTTTATATGTGATGATTACTAACTGTGACTGTGTATGAGCTGTGAGAAGCCCACAAGCAGTGTGTGTACGGATGTGTGATGACTGCGTTCTTGTTCAGATCCGCAGCATGAAGAAAGAACTGGAGCAGCTGGAGCAGGAGTCCCAGAAGAAGATCAGGACCTCGGAGCACCTGCTACAGTGAGTACACGAGCCTCACATCAACTGGAATATGTGTATATGTCAAGACACATCACTGACGATGTTGGTGCAGTGTTAATCAAAGAATATAGATGTTACCAGTTTGTATCAATACAGAGTGAGTGCGTGAGCATGGTTTTATGCTGCTTTTAGCAATATTCCAGTAATATCACGGTGGGGGACACCAGAAATGGGCTTCACACATTGTACCCATGCTGGGAATTGAACCCGAGTCTTCGGCGTGACGAGCTAACACTTAAAACACTAGGCTACCCGACTGCCCCAGTATCAATACAGAAGTAAAGTGAAAATGCTTACCAGTAGGTCTTGTACTGTAATTTAAGATGGTTATGAGACTGACCTAAAACTCAGTTAGAAAGAACAAAAAGCACCTGTTGGCTGACTCTGTTTTACAATTAGGTGAAATGAGAGATTTTATGTCTGCTGTAAGAAGTCGTGAATAGTACTTTTAAAACTCTTTTGGTATTTTGACATCTGAAACATCATTAGTAACAGTACTAATCTGGAAGATAAAAGTTATTTTGTTTCTTTACCGGCCACCTACTTTGGATTTGTTTCTTAACAAACTAACAAGTACTGAAGGCCATTATACAGAATTTCTTCCGTTAATGGCAAGATTGTCTTTGTAGACAAGTAATAATTCAATGAACTGACAAGAGGATTGTTGTCTTTTCTATTGAAGATTTAATTTGTAAGCCATAGGGGAATAATTTTTTTAGCCCTAAAAGTTTTCAGAGATCTTATGTTGATCCAATTCCCGTTTATTCTTATTTATTATGGAGATTTTGTAGAGTTTGTTGTGATTACAGAGAGAAGGACCTCACGATCCACAGACTGCAAGAGCAGAACCAGAACCAGGCCCTGTCAGCAGAACGGGCTCTGGAGGAGTTCAAGGCCGAGGTGGAGAAGAACCAGAACCGGGTTTACGAGGAGATGAAGCAGCAAGTAGGTCAGACCTGTAATTTTGTGAGGGCTATAGCCCTTCATAGTGCTGCAGGTTTGCCGGAACAGACACATGGTGCAGACCTGATTCATTTGTGTGTCAAAATACCATACACTGAATGTCCTCAAGTTGCTGGTGTTGTATATGTCATGCTCTTTATGGTTGTCTCCTTATGAAACTTTCAGGAGATCTTTGTTCTGCGTAGCAATATTTCCAGTTCCACAAGTTACTGAGCTGTGCTCTTTACAAGTTAGAATTGATCACTGTGTTTGTTGTAAAAGAGGACTGAATTGTTGAGTGCTGAATGAGAAGAAGAAGGGAGTGTGTAGGAAGTAGGGCTGGGACGGGTAACTCGGGTAACTCGGGTACTCGGGCCGGGTGGTTCCTGAGTAGGATCCGGGTACCCACAGTAACCCCGTTGTTAGTCATGTGATATATTGTTTAATGGCAACAACTCACTATAGCTCAGTGGTTACACTTCAAGTCGCTAAAGTTCGCATTTCTTTCTGATGATGAACACATTCCTTTGACTTGTATGTGTGTGAGTAGAGATAAAGCTTCAGTCAACTTCTGTGTACACATCTTTTGATACATGTATCTAAATAGTTTTTGCCAGGGCTGCGGTAAAATAATTCCCAATCAGACATTTTGTTCCCAACTCTTGAGACCTGTAGTGGGTACCCGGGTAGGGTCGGGTAATGGGGGGGTTGGGTACCCGGGTAGTGAATTTGGACTCGTCCCAGCCCTAGTAGGAAGACTATTTCTTACTCACCTGTGAAGAGATCACACGTTTAAAAACAATAAACTTTTATTACACATTGTGTACTAACATCAACTACAGCAGTGACATCTTTCACTCGTTAGTAACGTTTTGAAACGGGGACTCGTTTAGTAATCTATATATCTGAACTGAACCATACTGACTTAGTGATTGCCAGTATTACCAGCTCCAGACAGGATTACTCTTAGTGAACCCCCGGTGCTTGTATGTGTCCAGTGATCATGACAGTCGTGGTGGTTGTAGATGACCCAGGTGGAGTCGGACCTCAACAAGTCGAAACATTCCCGGGAGAAGCAGAACAAGGAACTCAGCAAGCAGCTGGAGCAGGAGAGGGTCAAGTTCAACAGGGAGGTAGGTCAAGGTCATACTCAATGAGCCTTGAACAGTAGTTGTCAATAACTGAATTATTTACAATTTAAACTGTAAAAAGTAAAAAAGTAAAATTGTTTTAAAACAAATAAAAAGTACTATTGGCATTGTTTACATCATGAATGACTTCTGTTGAAATAGAACTATACTGACGTAACATACCGGGTATGTTATACTTGGGACTCAAATTCAAAAAGTACTAGAATTTGTACTTTACTAAGAAACTTCAATCCCAAATATGACATGTTACATTTGAGCACTTTCTTAAAGGTATTTTATTCATACACTTATCTAAATAACAATACTTGCAGATAACAGAAATGAAGATATCGTTTGAACATGAGAGGTCGCAGATGTTGCATGACCTTCACCTTCAGAAGGAGTATATCTTGTCAGAACATGAGAAGGCTGTGGAGACACTCAAGGAAGGTCACAGAGTTGAGTTGAGGTCATTGGAGGCTCGGTACAGGGAGAGGGGCGACAAAGACACAAAGGTATCAATTGTTTTAATATAGAACTTTAATATCTTCTTTCACTTCTTCGTATGTCCTGGCATCTTCACGAGACAAGGGAGTTAACTGACTATAAAAGTCCAGTTTCCATCCTTGCCGAACTAGTCTGGAATTTCTGGGCTCGATGGTAGTGCCACCAATGGCTATTATGAATTATGTCTCTTCTATGTCCCTCCTATTGACCAATCAGATTCCACCTCTCATATCACTTGCATTTGCTTGAAACTAAACGATGATCTGGTTGATAATCAAGATCTATATAGAAATAAAACGGGTCTTACTTCGCGAAGGGCATCAAATCCCCCTTGATTAAGAACAAGAAGAGATTTGGAAAATATCTGTTAATGCCGAATTGGTGGTGCACATGTTTTGCAAAACCTGCAATCAACTGAAATCTGCTAGGCAGTTACAAACCGAATATCTATTTCGTTACGCAATTTTGATGTATAGACTTGATAGTCCAGCCAAAATATAACTCCATAACTCCAGCCAAGTTCGGCAAGGGTGGAAACTGGACTTTTGAAGTCAGTTAACTCCCTTGCCTGGGGAAGATGATCTCCTGCAGTGTTGAGACAAGTCTTTCCAGTGGTTTTACATGAATGCTTTTGTTTGCAGAACTTGACAGAGTTTGAGAGCCAAGTGCGAGAGTTGCGAGAGGAGCTTGTGCAGTCAAACCAGCTCCGGAAGCAGCAGCTGGTGGAACTGGGGCTGCTCCGAGAGGAGGAGAAGCAGAAGATGCTGAGAGACCATGAGGCAGAGGTGAGCAGGGACAGGTTAGAGTGCGTTTGACAGGGTAGGGGTGTGTATTTAGGGGTGGAGTAACGTTTGTGTTTTTGGTGCAAGGGTTTAGTTAGGTGTGTCTTCTGGAGGGAATGGAGGAGAAGAGGAGTACACTATACAGAGAGATTATGAGACAGAAGTGAGTAGGGGCAGGGCTTTGGGAGTGTTTCATGGGGCAGGGTAGGTGTGTGTGTTTAGGGGTGGGGTAAGGTTTGTGTTTTTGGTGCAAGGGTTTAGTTAGGTGTGTCTTCGGGAGGGAATGGAGGAGAAGAGGGGTACACTATACAGAGAGATTATGAGACAGAAGTGAGTAGGGGCAGGGCTTTGGGAGTGTTTCATGGGGCAGGGTAGGTGTGTGTGTTTAGGGGTGGGGTAAGGTTTGTGTTTATGGGGCTAGGCTATTGATGGGATTGGATGTGTGTTCTCGAGGGGGTGGAGATGAGGTGAAGCACAATATACAGAGATCATGAGACAGAACTTAGTAGGGGCACAGAGTTATGGCCCTTGCTCCATGCTTTTCAACTTAGCACATACTGTGTGAAATGGATGCAAGTTTTCTCAGAAACCAATGAAGTTTGTATGCTTATCTAAGGGATACTTGTCAAGACTGAGTTCGGAAATTGGTGCAGAAATAATATTTTTTCCAGCTTTACTTCCCTAGCTACATGTTTTAGATTTTGAGCGTACACAGTTATGGCCCTTTTCATGTTACTTTACAAAGTGCACAGTGTCTGCAATGGGAACAAGTTTTCTCAGAAATTACTGATGTTCATTTATATAAGAGATACTTATCAAAAAGAGTTCAAGAATTGGTGCCATGAACTATTTTTCCAGAGAAGGGGCCTTTTGTGTGTATTAATTTCACATTTAATCATATTTTCTGATGACATAAAGTGACCCTAGTGCCTTTCTCTTTATAGGCTTAACAGGACTCTTTTTTCTAGTTTATATTCACAACTACATGTATATGAACAAACAAAAGTCAAATGTGCCTCATGGCGGGGATAGTGATAATGCTGTTTTCTTGTTGCTGCTTCAGTGGAGGTTTTGGTAAGTGAAGGTGTACGTATGTGCATGTTTGATCTGTATCGTGTTAACCATGTCTCACCAATGTGTTACAGATGGGTCGGATGCGGAGTGACATGGAACAGCAGCGGCTTGAGCTTCAGAAACTCCACAGCTCTGAGATGGAGACCATGCTTGAGAAGGTAGGGATGGGTATTATCAGGCTACTTCAGTGCTTCCTCTCAGCAGTGTGTCATAGTCCTAGCAATTCTTAAACTGTCTTTGTGCTTCTGCTAGATGTCACCTGTTCATAGGGACAACGCAACTGTAATACAGGTAGACAGCCTTCCCTCTATTCTCTGGACCTGTGAAGATTCCGGGGTAGAATAGGTCTTCAGCAACCCATACTTGCCGTAAAAGGCGATTATGCTTGTCGTAAAAGGCGACTGACGGGATCGGGTGGTCAGGCTCGCTGACTTGGATGATACATGTCATCGATCCTAACTGCGTGGTTCGATGCTCATGATGTCTACCACTGGATTGTCTGGTCCAGACTCGATTATTTTACAGACCGCCGTCATATAGCTGGAATATTGCTGAGTGCGGCGTTAAACAACAAACAACAAACAAACTCTATGCTCTGTAGATTAGTGTTGTAGTATAACTAATCTGTTGTTTTATGGTCCTGCAGACAAATCAGCGTCTGAAGGACATTGAGAGGGAGTACGCTGACCGAGGGCAGAAGTCCACAGAGGTAACACTTCTTTTTGTTATGCCTTTATTAAGAATCTTGCAATTCCATTGGTTAATCCATACCACATGGCAAAACAATATGTTTCGATGTAGACCCCGAAATCATGTGACTGACACTGACCTCAAATATTGACTCGTCACATGATCAGTATTGACCTGAATATTGACTCGTCTGCTGGAAAACAAGATGGCGTCTTGTACGAACACTTCACGGTTCACGGCTAAGTTACTGTAATGAAACAGAGGATGGTTTAAAGACTTCATAAACTTTAAAGTGAATTTTTGTATTACAAAACAAATGATTACTCTTAATGAGGTCAATATGCGAAAACAAGGCCCATTGGACCCAACCCCTTCAACGGTCGACTACCTCAGGGGTCGGGTCCTCAGGTCCTTGTCTTCGCATATTGACCTCATTAAGAGTAATTATTTGTATATTGTTCACTGGGTTATCCTTCACTCAGACAGTACAGATTTGTCCATACTATCCTACATGTAAATGCATTTTACTACATATCTAGAATGGACAGCACTAAGTAAAAGACTATGACAATGTGTTTTGTTTGTCATCAACATAATCTCCTCTGAAACCACTGGAGCAATGAAGCAGAAACTTTACAATCAATGATGACACCTGGATTTGTTCAAGAGCTTCGACTCAGTGTTTTCAATATGGTTGCCATGTAATTAGAAAGCAACTGTATAACCAACTCATCAGTTTTATGAATTCGAAAATTGTGATTAGAAGACAAAACTAGAATGATGGAAACATGTCCTGCTTGAATGAGGTGATGACGAGGCAGGGAGGCTCTGTTGACGTTTTAACTTGGTATCATTTTACAGGACCAAAGAGCATAGACATTGGTTGAGGCGTCTGAGACACATATATGTGAAGATCTGTTTGTTGCAGGTGGTAGTCTGAGACACATATCTTGTGAAGAACATGTGAAGATCTGTTTGTTGCAGGTGGTACTCTGAGACATATATCTTGTGAAGAACATGTGAAGATGTTTGTTGCAGGTGGTGGTCTGAGACACATATCTTGTAAAGTACATGTGAAGATCTGTTTGTTGCATGTGCTACTCTGAGACATATATCTTGTGAAGTACATGTGAAGATCTGTTTGTTGCAGGTGGTGGTCTGAGACACATATCTTGTGAAGAACATGTGAAGATCTGTTTGTTGCAGGTGGTACTCTGAGACACATATCTTGTGAAGTATATGTGAAGATCTGTTTGTTGCAGGTGGTACTCTGAGACACATATCTTGTGAAGTACATTTGAAGATCTGTTTGTTGCAGGTGGTGGCTGATCTTCAGGCGGCAACTAATCAACTCCGAGAAGAAATCAAAAGGTACTCTAACCCAGCTGATCAAAGATAATGCACGTTCTTCAAACATGCAATCTCTTATGGTACTCCCCATTTCATATTCTGGGGGAGGGAGGTTGGTGGTGACCTTGGATTCCAGTTTAAGTCATAATTTTTAGCACTTTAAGTCAAACAATGTTTTGTGGACCCATCATACACTATTTTTCAGAACATCCACATGTTCAGTGTAGGATTTATTTCTTTTTATCAACGCTTAGCATTTTTGGAAAGAGATTAGGCTAAAAAAAAAAATAGTCTTGCTTCTCAGGCACCACCTGCATCATCATAAAGTCTGCCGCACGGTTGTTGTTTTTTCCATTTTAAAAAATATATAAAAATCCTAATACTTTAACACAATGCACAAAAAAAATTGAAAATGGAAACAAAAACGAAACTTGCAATGAACTTTATGAAGACTTTATGATGTGGGTAGTGCCTGAGAACCAAGACTATTATTTTTTAGCCTTATTTTTTCCTATTTGAAATTATACATACTCTTTGTTTCAGGATTCGACAGCAGTGTGACCTGCGGATGACAGAGTTAGCAGCCCAGCACGAGCAGGACAAGAAGGCAATGAAGAAACAGTACGCCACCAACGTCACTGTGAGTTGGCCCACTTTATGTACAACAAGTGTACGTGAGCTAGTACTGTCTGCAGTTGCATGTATGGAATAATTTGTTTGTTTGTTGCTTAACACCGCTCTTGGCTATATTCCAACTAGGTGATGGCGGTCTGTAAATAATCGAGTCTGGACCAGACAAGCCAGTGATTGACATCATGAGCATCGATCTACGCAATTGGGATACGATGACCTGCATCAACCAAGCTGAAAGTTTGCAGATTTTAAAAAATTGAAAAACAATTGTTTACTTGCAGGCTCTGCAAAAGGAATTGGATTCACAACGAAATAAGTGTCGAAATATGGAGAGACAGTTGCAGAGGTTGGAGGCAGATCAAGAAGAAAAGGTGAGGATGAACAAGAAGCTGACGTGGTATGATGTTGGTTGGTTGGTTGGTTGTTTAACGCTGCACTCAGCAATATTCCAGCTATATGAAAGTTGTCTGTAAATAATCAAGTCTAGACCAGACAATCCAGTGATTGATATCATGAGCATCGATTCACGCAATTGGGATCGATGACATGCTTCAACCAAGTCAGCGAGCCTGACTACCCGATCCCGTTAGACGCCTCTTACAACAAGCTTAGTCGCCTCTTACAGCAAGCATGGGTTGCTGAAGACCTATTCTACCCCGGATCTTCACGGGTATGGTATGATGTAGTTGTTGGTGGGGACTGATAGGGATTGAAGGTGGAGGGTTGGTGAATGGTTGGGAGGGAATGAAGGACTGGGTGTCTGATGGGCCGGTGTGTTGGAGATGGAATGTGAAGGATTGCATGGGCACAGAAGGTAGGGTGAGGAGAAGGAAGGAAGGGATTTAGTTGGGTGGCTGGGCAGTTGGGATAGGATGTGGGGGTTCGGTGTTTTTTAGTGTTGGTTTCATATTAGGTGGAGCAATAAGGACAGAAGGGTTGTTGTGCAAGGGTCAAGCGATGGACATTGAGGAAGGTGATCTGACAAGTAAGGGTGCAGGTTGGTTGTACACTGAGTGAAGCAATGGGATGTAAGCTTAGGCTAAAAAATATAATAGTCTTGGTTCTCAGGCACCGCATGTTTCGTTTTTGTTTCCATTTTTAAAAAAATAAAAGAATCCTAATACTTAAAAACAATGCAATCCAATATAGCATACAGTTTCTTCCCTTTACATATGCACTGCTTTACTGTGCATCTCGTGTTATGGTCATGGCGGCAGTAGGAGTTTGTATGCTTGTTTTTGTAGGGAGAACCTTTCCCCTGTTGATGGTACACAACTGTTTATTTCGTCAGATACTAGTTTGAACAAGGAAAAAAAGAAAAAAACACCGCCCTCCTGCACTATGTTTTTAAGAGTCATTGTCTGAGAACCATTTTTTTATTTTTCTTAAGCCTTAGAGTAAGTGGTAAAAAATGGTAAGTAGATGAGAGAAGTAGGAGATGATAGGGCAGTTATTGCAATTATTAACACATTTCTTGATATCACACGTGCATGTAAGATGAATAATTACTTACATGGTTTCAAAGTGTTTCATGTTTCATTTCAGATAACAAAACTGAAGCTGAGCAACGAGGAGAGGATGCGGGGTCTGATGCCAGCAGTTGTCAGACAGGTGAGAAATACAAGCATCCACAGGTACAGCCATGTATAGCTGCCAGTTTGGATTACCCTTTGGGTAAAATATGGGTCATCTCTAACCCATGCATGTCTTTGAGACACGTGTATCAGATGGCCACAGTGGCTGCTGTGTGTGGACAGTTGTCTTGAGGAGTGGCTAAAAGGAAAGACAACTCTCAGTTATGACCTGCCATAGTTGGTCATGGTAACCTGGACTGTTACTCAACACTTCTCCGGGCGAGGCTGCTCTCAACTGTTTACTTACACAAGTAGGCGTCTATGCTTGTCGTAAGAGGCGTCTATGTTTGTCGTAAGAGGCGTCTATGTTTGTCGTAAGAGGCGTCTATGTTTGTCGTAAGAGGCGTCTATGCTTGTCGTAACAGGCGACCATGCTTGTCGTAAGAGGCGTCTATGCTTGTCGTGAGAGGCATCTATGCTTGTCGTAAGAGGGGTCCATGCTTGTCGTAAGAGGCGTCTATGCTTGTTGTAAGAGGCGACCATGCTTGTCGTAAGAGGCCTCTATGCTTGTCGTAAGAGGCATCTATGCTTGTCGTAAGAGGGGTCCATGCTTGTCGTAAGAGGCGTCTATGCTTGTCGTAAGAGGCGACCATGCTTGTCGTGAGAGGCGTCTATGCTTGTCGTGAGAGGCGTCTATGCTTGTCGTGAGAGGCGTCTATGCTTGTCGTAAGAGGCGACCAACGGGATCGGGTGGTCAGCCTCGCTGACTTGGTTGATGCATGTCATCGATCACAATTGAATGGAACAATGCTTATGATATTAATCACTGGATTGTCTGGTCCAGACTCGCTTCTCCAGGCGAGGCTGCTCTCAACTGTTTACTTACACAAGTAGGCGTCTATGCTTGTCGTAAGAGGCGTCTATGTTTGTCGTAAGAGGCGTCTATGTTTGTCGTAAGAGGCGTCTATGCTTGTCGTAACAGGCGACCATGCTTGTCGTAAGAGGCGTCTATGCTTGTCGTGAGAGGCATCTATGCTTGTCGTAAGAGGGGTCCATGCTTGTCGTAAGAGGCGTCTATGCTTGTTGTAAGAGGCGACCATGCTTGTCGTAAGAGGCGTCTATGCTTGTCGTAAGAGGCATCTATGCTTGTCGTAAGAGGGGTTCATGCTTGTCGTAAGAGGCGTCTATGCTTGTCATAAGAGGCGACCATGCTTGTCGTGAGAGGCGTCTATGCTTGTCGTGAGAGGCGTCTATGCTTGTCGTGAGAGGCGTCTATGCTTGTCGTAAGAGGCGACCAACGGGATCGGGTGGTCAGCCTCGCTGACTTGGTTGATGCATGTCATCGATCCCAATTGCATGGAACAATGCTTATGATATTAATCGCTGGATTGTCTGGTCCAGACTCGATTATTTACAGACCCCCGTCATATAGCTGAAATATTGCTGAGTGCAGCGTTAAACAACAAACCAGCCAACCAACCAGCTTACACAAGTCATAATCAGCATGGTTAGGCTTATAAAAAATAATTCAAGAATTGTTTCATATGTCAGGTATTACAAGATAAAGATTTACATATTAAGTAAGAGAATTATGGATGTCAACATCATTCACATGATGAAAGAGTAAGCATATACTCCGAAACGTTGTGTTCCTCATAATAAAGAAGTTGACATCCATAAATTCTCTTCCTTATGTGTATCACTTGTAAATGCCTCTCAAAGACTGGAAAGATGTCCACGTCCTAATGTGTGGTTGCAGGAGCTGGAGGACACCATCAGGTCTCTGCGGTCTCAGGTCAACTCCTTACAGCAGAGAGCAGCAGTGTTGCAGGACGAACTCGACCTCAAAATCAAAAATCCCCTGGGACCTTTCGGAACCCTGACCAGCTCCCCCATCATCAAGTCCTCTGTCTGACCTGCAGGACAGCCGTTTTCTAGAACAGCTGAAAGTGCATAGTGGAGGACATGGGTTTGAGGGCAAGCCTAAAGGGTACCTACTCACAAACGTCTTCCAGACCTAGCCCAGATCTGATTTATCCTGTACATGTTTTCCTGATTGTGCAGTTGTGCATGTTCTTCAGTGAGGAGTGTACAAAGACCTGCACTTATAAAAGATCACTGTGAAATTTGTGCATCACTGTGTCCCTCAAACGAATTTGCTCAGTGTATCTTCACAGAGCTTCTTGGTCTAGACAAAGACAAATCTTACACACTGTGCCTGTTACTTTGCTCTGTGGATTCTGTGACTCGGAAGACCTCCCAGGTACCTAGTTGGGGGGAGGCCTCTGACCTATTTGCTGCATCTGTGATATTCCTGGCTTGCAACCGTCACCAGATGGTGCTCATGTTATTTTTATGTACTGTAGTTCTCCAGATTGTTAGCATGCTATTTATGTGTATTGTAGTTTTCAAGAGTGTTAGCATCTTATTTATATGTATTGTAGTTGTCCAGTTGTCAGCATGTTTATCAAACCCTTTCAGTCGACACTATCAGAAAACTCTATGTGAAACTGAAAAAAGAGTCTGTCATCATACTGGCAGTTATTCAGTAATCCATCATGAAGCTTGCCAATATTCAATCTGGCCTCTGCTGATTTTATTAACAATGACTATTGCTCTCCTGTTTCTGTAGCATCCTAGATGGCTTGTTCCTGAGTGACAAGCCCAGTTTCAAGTAATATATTTGAAATTAAAATCTAGTTATAATGCCTCCCACTACCCTTTTTCAAGAAGACAATTTCATGGTTGTTTTGTTGCAACCTTATTTCTGTCTGTATAACTGTAGTGGTTATCACTGACACACCCTGCAGATAGAGGGGTACACTTTGAGAAGTCACTTCAGCTCAAACGTACAACTACAAGTCATTATTTACACTGAGATATTGAAAGGGTTTTCTTTCAGGTATCTTTAAGTAATATGTAAGGAAGTCATTTGCTCAAACAATCAATCATGTAGCTGTTATATGTAGCACTCCAGTTCAAGGGTGATAAGTGATACAGGAGAGTTTGTGTTACAAGAATACTATGTGTGGAATATGATCTAGGTTGGTGTTGAACTCATTTACGCCTTGAAAGATATATTATAGAGATTGGTAGTATTGTCATTTTAACCATAGTATATCAGCCTTTTCCACCAAATTTTTCCATTTCAAAAGACCTACTTTACAGTCAAGGATGTTGATTTTTAACCATATGACTTTAGATATGGTGAGGTCTGTTTTGTTCAGAAAGCCTGCTTGCTACATACTCTTCGTTCATGTGGAACTATGTTAATCCAGATGAGTTAACAGGACACTAGAGTTAAGGGGTCCAGTGTACTTTCAGTTATCCTGCTATCCTCCAGGACATGGATTTAGGTCAGAACATTCCCCAACTATTTCTCCCCTTCATCATGAGGTCAGGAGATGAGTGGTGTGAGGGTGACAGATTCAGGATACATTATGTGTTCCTCATCTCAAATGTCTAGAAGTTAACAACTCACAGGGTCAAGCCTGCTATGGCAGACCCCTTGTGCTTCTTCAGGGTTTTCGGCATCTGAAGAAACACAGAATTTACCCAGGATAATCAGTGGGTTCTATTTGCTTTGCTAAGGTCATGTGTCATTGTACATAGGAGAGCATCTCCCTGTTTATGTCTGTCTCTTTTGGTGGTGTTACATTGTTTTTAGGTGGGAGAGAACAGTTCTCCTGCTGTCCTGGTGTTTTCATTGTTTTTGTAAAAAGGAGAAGAATAATTCTTACATCTCATGTATTTCATTTCGATGCGGAACTTTTAGTTTTGGATAATAGGCTTAAAAAAAAGAAAGAATTGGGTTCTCAGGCAATGACTTTTGAAAAAATAGTGCTGGCAAGTGGTGATTTTTTTTTTTTTGGTTGTTGAAAATAGCATGTAACCAAATAAACAGTTTTGTACCACTAACCTGGGAAAGGGCCTCGCTACATAAACATACAAATTCCTATTGTCGCCATGACCATAACACAAGATGCGCAGTAAAGGGAAGTAACTGCATGCTATATTGGATCACATTGTTTTTAAGGGATATGGATTTTTAAATTTGTTTTAAAATGATAATAATACAAAGCGTGTGGCAGACTTTATGATGATGCAGGCGGTGCCTGAGAACCAAGACTATTATTTCTTTTTAGCCTAAGGAGAATGATTTTGTAAGAATCCTATATTTTTATTTCAATGTGAAACTTTAGGATAGAGAAGAATGGATTTTGTACATCACTACCACTTTTGGGATGGAGAGTACACATTCTTTTTTGCTTTCTTAGTGCTTTCATTATTACCTTGAAACTAAAGGATGGTTGACAGTGGCTTTGTGAGCCTTCCTTATTTCGATTGTGAAACATTGGGATGATGAAGAATGCTTTTCTATATTTCGATGTGAAATATGGAATCAGAAGAAATGCTTTCTATCCATGTAAAACTTCAGATTGGATCAGAATGTTATTTTTCTTAGCACTTGTTATGATGTGAAGAGACTTTTTTTTGTCAGCAAGGTCTTTAATTTGGAATGTAAAACTCAAGGATGAAGATTGATGGAGTTCTGATGTGCCTTTATCTTCATGTTTACAGTAAAACTTTTGGAAGAGGAATGATTCACTATCTTTCTTAGGACATTCAGTTTCGTGTTATATTTTGGGATGAAGAATGGCTTTCTATCTTCGTTAGCTCTTTCACTTATGATGAAAAAGGATCGTTTCCTTATTCGTATTACTTTCATTTTGATGTGAAACGTGAGAATGGAAAACAAAGGTTTTCTTGTTCATGTTCTGTGTGGACCTTTTGGATGGAGAAGAATAGTTTTCTATCTTTCTCAGTGCGTTCAATTTCATTCAAAGCTATATTTTACAATGGAGAGGAATTGTTTTGCGTTACATTTTCAGTGTGATGCTCAAGGCTGAAGAAGACTTGAGAACTGCTCTATAACCTACTTTCAATGTAACACTGCAAGATGCAGGTTTATGTGCTTCTGACTTTTCTACCTCTTTTATTTTTTATGTCAAACTGAAAACTCACATGGATAAAGGTATGTTTTGTTGCAAAGATAAACATTTGCCAATCATATCAACATCAAACACACAATGCCATTTAGAAAGTGGTCAAATTTAACAAATGTTACCGGTATATTTGGGATAACACTTTCTTAGTAAAGTACAGAATCTTGTACCTTTTGGGATTGAGTCCCTTCCGGGATTCGAACCCACACTGCCAGAGTGAGGCACCTTATCGCACCTCAACACAAAAAAGTACAAGAATCTGTTCTTAACAAAGAAAGTGTTATCCCAGATATAACATTTGTTACATATCAACATCCTAACTAACTTTCGAACATACATAAGCTATTTACTGTATCTGGCCAACTGTGCTTCACAATGTCAATGGATCAGTCTATATGTGCTGGAAGTTGTAGTTATGTCCTGTCTAGGCAACAAGAATAAATTGCTCATTTCTCTTACCAAGTCACAATTTGCTTCCTGTATATTCTGTGTATATAGCCCATGTATCACTGTTTATAGCTTGTAAGTAGGAAAATAATATATTGTATCTACCTCCTTGTAAAATGCACTGAAACACCAGGGAAACACATTGTCAAGTTTTCAAACAATTTGTTAACACTTATCATGCTAAGTATGTTACTAGTTCCAAATTAAACAGTTAATAACAAACGAATACCTATCAAAATTCTTTACATTTCTTACATTTTTTATCAATACATTTTTACTCTATGGCTGCTACATTGGTTGAGAAACCATGACTGCTTGTTTTCAAACCGTGTCAGCAAATCCAAACTTTCCCTGTTTATTAGGTGTGTCAGTGTTCGAGTGTGTATATATACAAATGTCATCAGTTGACTCACAGTGTATGTCTGGTCATATCCCCAGCATTATGTTAGACTCCTGCTAGCGGTAGTATCACTCTCATCCATCTACAGCCTGCAGAACCTGTCACAATCACTGCATCACATCGCTGTTTCATACAAGAAGCTAAACACTGTATCTTCTCATTCTCAGCGACACATATTTGGTTTGATGTAAATGTTTGAAATGGATGGTTTCATGTTGACGTACTTCGTACTAACTGTTGTTGTTTTACAGTGGGGTGTAGCTGTTTTACCAGATTGATATTGATGCTGCTGTTACCATTCCAATCTATAGTGGGACTATTGCGTTTGCTCCTGAAGTTCACTAACAATGCAATGAACTGCTCTGTTTAATATAGATGTCAGATGTCAATGTCCATGTGAACACAGTGCTAGAAACTAACAGTTTAAGCCCACTCTTCCTTATAATGATAACATATAGAAAAAACCTGTAATAATGGCCAATTTCTACTAGTCCTTAAGATACCTAAACTATTGAGGAGTTTGGCAAGGACTAAAGGACGAGTGCCAATTTCTAACGCTGGAACAGTAAATCAGTGTTTCTTCCATGAATCCAGTGAGTGAGTGAGTTGGGTTTAACGCTGCTTTTAACAGTATTCCAGTTATATCACGGTGTGTCAGCTTAATGTGGGAGGAAAGCCCGAAGTGATGCAGGTCTCAGACTTTTACCACTTCGGTGAAACCCACGAGCACGGGTATGGTGCTGACACACCTACAAACATAATCGGGGCTAACCGGGATTCAAACCCACAATCATAGGTTTCTGGCGTGCCCAAGGGATGCAACTCTGCACAGCGAATTGCGGCCCCAGAGACAGCTGGGCCACCCGTGCCCCCTCCATGAATCCAAACAGAACCATAACAACAGGACAGGCTTACCCTTTTTGCGAACACCTGGTGTCACTATTTCTCCTTTTACGCCGAATGAAATCTAGCCATTTTGGCAGAGAATCAAGATGGATATTAACTGTTTCATCAGCATTCTGGGGGCACGGGTAGCCCAGTAGTCTAAGGCACTGCAATTTCCTGTGCAGAGTTGTGTCCCCTGGGCACGCCAGAAACCTATGATTGTGGGTTTGAATCCCGGTTCACCCTGATTATGTTTCAACGTTTGTCAGCACCATTACCATGCTCGGCGGTTTCATCGAAGTGGTAAACATCTGAGACCTGCATCACTTCGGGCTTTCCTCCCACATTAAGCTGACATGCCGTGATATTACTGGAATACTGTTAAAAGCGGGGGTTAAAACACAAGCATTCTAGAAGTTGATGAGTAAATAAGAAAACGTACGAAGGAAAACATAACCAGAAGTTGTTATCCATAAGGTTGTTGTAATGTACGTTTTCTTAAGACTGATATTCTCTGGCATTGACATTTTGTATTAACATTCCTAAAAGAAAACCTTCCAAATCTAAAATATGGACCAATCAAATTACAAATCCTCTGGATGAAGAAGAGATGTTTTTGTTTTGCTTGGTGACAGATGCCGTTGAACAGGTGGAATACGAAGAGAAGCTGAAACAGATGTAGCGTATGTTGGAACATCTGTCGGTTATTGAAGTATTTTATTGACAGAATATAGATATATGTTATTGATAGGTGCACAAAATCCTGTATAAAAACACCTGAATAGACAATAGATTGTACATATAACATTGTAATAAATATTATACACAAGTTTGTTGTATTTTATATATGTGATGAAATTCTTCAGCCAAATCAGTCGTTGACAGATAATCTGAGGCAATCTCTGAATGTCTGCAGATCTTATTAAATCACTACAAAATGTCCAACATTTTCTGCATCACAAGATGTACATGCATTAAAAGGAAACCCTTCTTTCCACATTCTATCAGGTGGGGTGAGGTGAAATGAGGTTTAACGTCGCATCCAAGATTATTGCACTTATATAGTGACGTGTATGTGTGTGTTTGTGGCTGCTTGTACTAGTCCGGACTGATGCAAATTTATAGTGTTAGCACACTGAGATACCATGCCGCAGTTTAACATAAATACCCCCCTTCGACTGTTCCACCTATGTCATCGCAATGCCACAGCTAGGGAGACTGCAGGTCGCATCCCTGGTTTGAGGAGGATATCGGACCAGACTGTCAGGAACCATCTTCGCGAGGCTGGAATCCGACCCAGAAGGCCAGTTATTGTCCCTGTTTTGCAACAGATCCATCGACAGCGACGCTTGCGTTTGTGGCATACCTTACAGCCTTGGAATTTCAGAAACTGGAGACGTGTGTGGTTTAGCGATGAATCACGATTTCTTCTCCACCTGCGAGATGGAAGACGTGTTTATCGTCGTCGAAATGAGCGTTTTGCCCCACATTGTGTACATGAATTTGACAAATTCGGTGGCGGTAGTGTCATGGTGTGGGGGGCCATATCCTACACCACGAGATCTAACTTGGTTTTGGTTCAGGGAAATTTGACAGCAAATCACTACGTGAATCAAATTCTTTAACCTCACCTTCTTCCAATCATTGACCGCCAGAGGGAGCTGTTTCAACAGGATAGCGCTCCACCGCACAGCTCGTGTCACGGTAGACTACCTTCATAATGCCAACATCAACACCTTGCCCTGGCCGTCAAGATCTCCAGATCTCAACCCAATCGAACACTTTCGTGATGAACTCGAACGACGTGTCCGTTAACGTCAGAACACGCCGCAGACACTCCCACAACTGGCCAACGCGTTACAAGCAGAATGGCACAGGACAGAATTCGTACATTTATCCAGTCATGCCGAGGAGATGCAGAGCCGTGATTGCTGCTCGGGGCTGTCACACGAGATACGGAGTTCAGCGCAACCCGGTGGCCTTATATCATAAATATAATAAATTTACTAAAAATCTACCTGTGCGTTTCCTTTTTTGAAGAGTGTATATAGGAGTGTGGTTTACTCCGTGGTGAAGGTTTGTTTATTTGTTGTCTAACGTCGCACTCAGCAATATTCCAGCTATATGAAGGCGGTCTGTATATGGGCCAATTGCCTTTCATATAATAAACAATTGAATTGTACATACTCGTCGAGACCAGACAACCAAGTGATTGATATCATGAGCATCGATCTAAGAAATTGGGATACGATAACATGCATCAACCAAGTCAGCAAAACTGACCACCCGATCCTGTGAGTCGTCTCTTACGACAGGGTTGCTAAGGACCAATTCTAACCCTGATCTTCACGGGAAACAAGCATGGGTTGCTGAAGACCTATTGTAACCCTGATCTTCACAGGAAACAAGCATGGGTTGCTGAGGACCAATTCTAACCCAGATCTTCACATTGGTCCTGACGTGTCATCAGTTGTCGAGTGTTTTCCTGTTTCACGTCTAGATCACTACTGTTGATAACGTCTTCCATTCCGCTTGGATATATACAGCAGGGTTTTATAGATTTCTCCCTCGTTTATTTAAAACGACTTGTATGTTACAACATATGTATAAAACTTAATTAGAAATGTTTTTACAGTAAATAGATTTAAACATATTTACAGTATCCATTCCTCGAGCGACATCAACACCTCCCACCTTTACAAACAGCCTGTCGCCAGCAACCATATATTTTCTAACAAAAATGAAGCATAATTTTGACAAAATGAAACACGTAAAAGTAAAAATAATGAAGGTTGTCTTAATTTTACTCGGTGTTTAAAACAACGTGAAATAGGAACACACACTGACACTGTCTCTGATATTTCTTGTAGCGATTACTGATCCACAGTGGGGGACTAATACCGCTTGTGGCAGCAAGGTTTCCCTGGGAGGGGGCACAATGAAGAGAGGGACCACAGTTCCCTCGGTCGTACATCTCAGTACTTCTGCCACACTCGAGGCAGGTGTGTTATAAGCACGAATGTGGGGTTTGGAAGCGTCTACGAAGATGCTATACCAATGAAGTTGTTGCACTTCACAAGATGATGATCGGTCAAAAATCTTGATTTATTGTGTCCCTCATTCCAAGTTCTTCAAAGTGATGACGTGTTTCGCCATTGTTTTCAATTTCCCATACCTCCAAGGAGGTAAAGACCGTTTGGAACTTTCATATTCTACGTCCAGATTCCGGATGGTGCTGATCCTCTCTCGCTTCAAGCAACTGTCTGCCTCGACCTCTTCGATAGAAATGGCCAGCACTTCTGTAAATCAGCATAAACATAGTCATATACAACATGGTCTACTTGTTTTACACCCCGAGGGGCGTCTGGGGTAGAAGGGGCAATTAGTAGCTCTGAAACTTCGTTTCAAAGAATAAAAGAAATTGTTATCCATAAAAAAGTGTTATTTATAATTCAACCTATGCTTGTCGTAAGAGGCGACTAAATGGCTCGGGTGGTCCAGTTTGGGGTCTTGGGTGATTGCGTTTCATCTAACCCTGAGAGTGTGGGACGTACTCTTGATATCAATCACTGGATAGCCTGGTCCAGCTCGATTATTTACAGACCGCCGTCATGTAGCTGGAATATTGCTGAGTGTGGCGGTAAACAACAAACAGATATATTTCACATCTTTTGGGCGAGATTTCTTTTCAATAAAACGGAACGGTGGATGTACAACAGTAGAGTGTGGAATGCTTTGGCGGGGGACGTGGTATAATAGTCTCAGATGATTGATCACTAAACAAACAAAAAACATTTGATCGGTTTCATTCACTTTTATTTTATAGTGATTGTACGTGATTTTAGTAGTAATGGGTGGTGATTAAGCAGATGTTGGTTTAATGCCGTTTTGAAAAGTATTTTTCCGTTATATGATATGACGGTTAACGTGGAAGAATGTCAAACTATGTCAAAACATGTTCTTGAGTATCTGCGGGAAATATCTCCGATTTCCTCCAACACTTACCTGACACGTCGTAATACAAAGAAATACTTTAAACCCACGTTAAACAGAACTCAATCAATATTCAGTTACCTTTCTTTCGCTGACGTCGGTTCGCTAATGCTCTTGCAAAATAACCCCGTGGTCTCTCCTTGGAATAGTAGCTTTGATTGATGGCTGTTATTGCTGTCTTCAACATAGCTTTCAACATGCCATATTTTCGAAAAAGAAATGCACTTTTAGCAGCGGCGTAGTCCATCTCCAACTGCCGGACTATTTCCTGCATGTCAATGAACTCGATCGTGACCTCAACATTGTCTAACCTCTCTGAAATGACGGAAGAACAACTTAAAACAACTAAAACATTTATGGGATAATCGTTCGTGTTTTTAAGTTTTGGTGCGTGTTCAGAGTTGACTTTGATCCTCATTCACAGGATATGTCTTGACTGATCTGGTTTGATAAATAAGGTGCTTGGTAGCATATCTTTTTATAAAACAAAGAACAAAACAAAAATGACGTACCGCTATCCATGGCGTGGCATTAGCTGGCCCTGAAACAACAAACTTCCTTTTAGAAGAGCAACCACAACACATGATTGGTCAAAGTGCTTTGTATTTCCTGCGTTGAAAAATATAACACCTTTGTAGTTACGTATAGACAGAAACGTGGTTTCCTCAACCAGTAAACTGAAAAACACTATTATCATGTCGATGTCTCTATACATACAAAAGAGGAGAACTTAGGAATCCCCAACAGATGTAAACAGCAATAAATTAACTGAATCGATTTCTAAACGGGGCTGGTTTTGTCTTTGCACGGACCTATATAACCTGGATAGGTAATACAAGTCCGTGGTATTTGTCACTACTTGGACCTACAGTGTATAGTACAGTAGTGTTGAATGATGAAGTGGTGTTGAATGATACAGTATTAAAGTGTTGAATAATAAGCAGTGTTGAATGATATCATAGTGTTGAATGATGTAATAGTGTTGAATTATACACTAGTGTTGAATGATACAGTAGTGTTGAATGGCACAGAAGTGTTGAATGGTGTAATAGTGTTGAATGACACAGTAGTGTTGAATGACACAGTACACCAGTTCAGCATGTGTTAGACAAATATGCAAAATTTCGTAATAAATTATTAAACGGTTTCAAAGTTATGCTCCGGAAACGATTGCTACACGTAATTGAGGCTAAGTCCTGTTTGTTGTCATGGAAATACCAAACTTTTGTTTTTTAGAAATAAAGAAACACCAAAAGACACAAGTACAGCATGTGTTTGATACATAAAGCAAAGTTTCGTAATAAAAGATTAAACGGTTTCCAAGTTATGCCCCGGAAACAAAACATGACGGGCGGACGAACGGACGGAAGGACGGCACCCATTCCTATATCCCCCTCCCACTCCCACTCCGTGGCGGGGGATAGATAATAAGCTTAAACATAGAGACGGCACCTACCTGGGTGTATCATGTCACGGATAGACTGAAGTCCACGTGCAGATTTGTCACTCTTTCCTCTATTACATTCAGTTCACACTCGGTTCAAATTCGGGGTATGCACATCCCAATACAACAGAGCTATACTGGTACATAGGCCTCCGTACGTGTTGGGTAAGTCAGGTATATCACCACTGGGTGAACACTTCAACATTCATTTCAACCTACTGTGACATTGTACACATGTATGGAGAACTGAACACAGTTACGTCTCATGTGTGCAACTCCCTATAGCAGGTTGTCAAAATACATTCACGGGCTTGGCAGTCTTAGCGACTCACCAATGCAGCCATGGCGAGAGGCATTGACACGCTACAAACGGCAGTCACTGAAGAAAACGCGTGCCTATTGAAGTGTTCGATTTTATGTCGACATAAATCAGGCCAGGGTAGTATTCACGTGCAGCTACGCCGTTGATTAACAATACCATAGACTGACGTCACACAAATACAATTCAAAGTTCCATCAAAGTTTGTAAAATGTATGCATGGTCTCGAAGATTCCCACCCAATTGAATTACAATGAGGTGTTTTCATATGTGACTAATATAGATTCGTCATTGAAGGCCTGAGCGTAACGTGCGGACAAAGGGGTTTACAAAACACGGAAACCACTCCCATTGATTGATCTGTAAGCAACGAATATACACAATACACCTGTAGATCAGTGTGACCTTTCGCGCAGTGTGACACTTTAAACAGGACAATGAATTATATTTCTTGTTGCTAGAAGAGGTGGCAGGTCAAGGGGAAATGGTGGAGTGGGCGGTTGGTGTGCGTGCGTGCGTGCGTGCGTGCGTGCGTGCGTGAGTGTGTGTCTGTATCTGAGCGTGTGTGCGTGCGTGCGAGCGTGCGTGCGTGCGTGAATGTTTGGAATTGAGTGTCATTTTTATTAATCGAACTGTATATTTTTAAGAAACCGTCACTTCGCTAAAGCTCTACAATCTAGTTAGTACATACAGTGCGTAATAAGCACAGGTTTATAAATCCGGGGAGATAAAGCTCTCGCCTGTTTAGATAAAGCTGTGATAGTAATAATACTGGGCTTCAGTTCAAAGTATTGATACGGTGTTTAATAGACAGCAGTTTACAGCTGGCACTGAAAACACATATACAGGGGAAAGCATGTTACTAAAAAAGTGTTATCCCAAATATAGCATTTGTTACAGAAGAAAGTAGAAAGAGCATGCTCGATTGTACCTTAAAAGTTGTGACATGTAGACAACAAAGGCTGAAGTTACGAAGGTGTTAATTCATCGCCTAATATAGGAGGTTGAATTTCTTTCTTGTTGGGAATACGCAAAGATTCGCTGGAATATACAAACATCTGAATGAATTACAGATAAACTAAAAATAGATTGAATAAATTAAACTATACCTCTCTATTTTCAATTGAACTTCAAACATACGATAAAATCTCTTACGTTCCTGATATTATATCCAAAGAATTAATCCTAATCGAGCTGAGTCATCACCCAAAGAATTCTTCTACATGGTTCAATTTTTTAAGAATATTTTTTTTAAACTTTTAAAAATTTAAAAAAAGAAAACTTTGCATAAAAATACAACTGTTGATGGGTATCTTAGACATATTATCTTTGGAAATCAATAAACGTGTTTTTTTCTGCACAAATGAACACCATTTCAAACTTGGTTGGCGTCATGTGGTTGCAAATTTATTTTTTACCCTTCTTTTCATTGAGACAATTTATTTTTACACAAAATCACCCAGTCACAGATTATTTTTACAAACGGTTGCAGGAATGGGGGGTGGTTAAATAGACATAATCAAAATTACAACAGTTCTTTCAATTTTCAGTTACATAAAAAATAAAAACTCGGTATACTTTCTTTTCCCCATCAGTATATTACAAATGGGTGAATAATTCATGTTCGACATATGTCATCTACAACGTATACCAGCGTGCTTTTAACGTATACAACTTACACCTAACTTATCCATAGCGTGTTTCAGCGTTGCCAGCGTTTTGGCAAAACTTCTCATACGTCGCCATACGTTACTGCTATACGTCGTAGTGTGACAGGGTCATTAGCAAAGCACACAGTCTATACTTCCTGTTTTCCCGATGTATCTACCAGTCGTTACCCTTAGTTTATGTGGCATAATCTAAAGTCTATGGTTATATATTCTTAGAATGTTGATTAATGATGTATGGTTCAGCCACAAAAAGATGTTTGAACAGTGTGTAGTCAAATGTGTTTGCGAGATGAATGCCAATCTTGCTCATGTGATAACTATCTATCACATCTATAAATTCTTTAAAAAATATTTATATGTATATACATGTAAACTGTTCTTGTCATACAAATCCAAATCCATACACTGAATATAATAGATCCGTGAAGATTCCGGGGTAGAATAGGTCTTCAGCAACCCATGCTTGCCGAAAAAGGCGACTATATGCTTGTCGTAAGAGGCGACTAATGGGATCGGGTGGTCAGGCTCGCTGACTAGGTTGATGCCTGTCATCGATCACTATTGCGTGGATCGATGCTCATGATATCAATCACTGGATTGTCTGGTCTAGACTCGATTATTTACAGACCACTGTCATATAGCTGGAATATTGCTGAGTGCAGTGTTAAACAACAAACCAACCAACCAACATCATACCACGTCAGCTTCTTGTTCATCCATCCCCACCTTCTAACCCATCATCCCACTTCCCTGTTCACCCTCACCTTTTCTTCTTGATCTGCCTCCAACCTCTGCAACTGTCTCTCCATATTTCGACACTTATTTCGTTTTGAATCCAATTCCTTTTGCAGAGCCTGCAAGTAAACAATTGTTTTTCAATTTTTTGAAATCTGCAAGCTTTCAGCTTGGTTGATGCATGTCATCGTATCCCTACTGCATAGATCGATGCTCATGATGTCAATCACTGGCTTGTCTGGTCCAGACTCGATTATTTACAGACCGCCATCATATAGCTGGAATATTGCTGAGTGCGGTGTTAAACAACATATAAACAAATTATTCCATACATGCAACTGCAGACAGTGCTAGTTCACAGACTCTTTGTGTACATATAGTGGGCCAACTCACAGTGACCGGATGGTCTGGGACCAGACTCGACGTTAAACGACGTTAAACAACAAACAAACAAAACAAACAACATCATGGTTTGTTATGGGTTTGTGGAGATAGGAGTTATCACGAGAGTGTGTTTGCGACCATATATGACCAACAACAAGGTATGACTCGCGTCAAGCCTGAGCTATGGTGGAGAATTAATTGTGTAAGATGATACTCTTGACTAATGAAAGCTCAGAGAATGATGCAAATGTTCAATATTTTAATTGCAATTCAATTAATAGCACATTTGTATGGTGGCCGAGAGGGGACATCGCTTTCTCGCTCTATCGCTTTCTCGCGGTTAAGCAATATCCCCTCTTGACCACTATAGGGGCCGCATGTCATATCTGCTGCAATTGGGAGGTAATGTTGAACTTTTCTCACTATGTACTTAAAACATAATTTAACTGTAGAGACGTAGGTGATTTTAAAACAATCCACCGATTTTTGCGTAAAATGTAATTGATTTATTTTTGGCCCTATTCAGTTGTATGTGATCATCACGCCGAAAGCGCGTGGCAGATCATGGCAATACGCTCTAAATAAATCAGGTTAAAATCTAAATATATACAATATATATATATAAGTTAAGAAGACTATGGTTAATTAGTCATGGCTGATTGTTTTGCAAAAATACAATCTTATAATTGTTGGTGTTCCATAACTTGTTTTCGGTAGTATATGATGTTACAGTGTGTCATAAGGTTGTCCGTAAATGTTCTTTTTGACATTTGATGTATGTTTAACTTGAATTGTGTTTCTTGTCTTGTGCAAATCTACAAATATATGTACTTGCATATAGTAATTTGATAAACACCACTGTGAGTGAGTGAGTGAGAATGGTTTCACGTCGCTTTTAACAATAATCCAGTAATATCACGGGGAACACCAGAAATGGGCTTAACACATTGTACCCATGGGGGAAATCGAACTGGGTCTTCGGCTTGACGATCGAACGCTTTAACCACTAGGCTACCCGACTGCCCCCATCGCTGTGGCGTTACCACAGTTGATATATGTACTTGTGTAAACTGCACATATAATTCCCGAAGACAGTTTGATCGAAAGTCATTATAAGAAACAAGCTGTTTTTAAAAAATATTTACAACGCATTTCATTTCTGTTGTCCAAGGAATGGGGTTACGGGTTAATGACGCTCTCGAAAGTCGTATATGTGACTTAAGGTAGAGACATATATCTAATTCATCTGTATTTTGTAGGGGAAACATAACTGTGTACATGTACAACTTTTGTTTGCATAATGTACATGCAACTTAATGAACATAATTGTGATCCCGAAATCGGACGAGCATAATAATTCTTTGGACGTTGCTAACAATACAATCTTGTTTCTCGTGGCACCTCCTGCTAATGTTCCCTTGCTTCTGACAGATATGACATATGATTTTCTTGTAATAGCAATTGTCACTGTTGTGGGTTTTCTTTCCACAGCGCCAACATTCACGGTTATCCCGAGACATCGATCCAACTGGCTTATCTGAATACTTCCGGTTCTTGTCAGACTTCACTAGTACATTCACTTTATGACTAAACTCATTGGTCTCCTTATTCGCAGCTTCCATACTCAAAGATATTTCCATTGATTTCTTTAAGTTCAAATCCTTCTCAGCAAGCAATCTACGCTGCATAGCTGCTGAAGCGAGTCCACACACAAACATGTCTCTCATTGCATCATCAAGAAATCCACCAAAATCGCAATGTTCACTCAGTTTGCGTAGTTCAGCCATAAATGCACTCACTGATTCATCAGAGCGTTGTTTTCGCTGATAAAACTTTTATCTTTCAGCGATAACTAATGGTTTGGGATTCACATGGCTTTAAACGACATCAACCAATTCTGGATATGACTTGTCAGCGGGTTTTGCCGGTGAGACTAAAGTCCTTATGAGGAAGTAGGTTTCCTTACCTACTACGGTAAGCAATATCGCTTTCCTCTTCCCGGCATCTTCAACATCGTTAGCGACGAAATACTGATTAAGTCTTTCAATATACTCAACCTAGTCTGCATTTTCAGACACTGAAAATTCCTCCATTCGACCATATGTCGAGAACGCCATTTTTAACAGCACAGCGCACACTACAACAAGCGCTATCAGTCCCATTAACACAGAGCGAATGTTCGTCACCAACTTACAGCTTGGTCTTCTTGGTACCACACATGTAGAATCCCATCCTCGTCGCCAAAATTGTAGTGTTCTTTCAATACCCAAGAGACAACCTGCCAACTTCCCACTTCCTTTATTCATCAGACGACAAGTGACAATCGGTAGCCAAGCCCGAGCACGTACTGCACGTGCGTTACGTAACAACGTTTTCCGAACCACTGATAACATTACATGAACGACTTCTGTTTACCATCAGAATTTATCAAACAAAACCTAATATTTT